CACTGAAGTCTCATGCAATTTTGAGTCTGAATTTCAGATGATTTGTTTATAATGTCATTTATAACATAAAATTATACATTTAGTAATTTACATACATGAAGAGTCTGTAATATTTATTGAAAGCAAAAATATTCATTAGTGTGTTATCAGAGTGACACTGTAGTTTAATAACCTATTATATAATTGTATCTTATTATACAAATAATAATTTTTAAAAATAATTACTGTAATGACATTTATAAAGAAACCTGAAAAATATCATTTCTTCTTTAAAGAATACATTAATTGAATCTTACAGACTATAAAGAATTTCATGTTAATACTGTATACGGTATATACAATTTTTATTTTGAGTGCCATTCTTTTAAAGAGAATGATTTGTCAACACTAACAATTATTTTCTTACATAGCCTAAATCTATTAAATTTGGATGTAAAATTTTACCAAATAAGATGCATATTTAAAACTACCTGTAACAGTTTCATATTTTTCCATTAATACAAAATTATATGCGGTGTCTGGATAATTTAATTGGGAGTTTTCTCAAGTCTACCAACTTTTCTTTTAAAATAATTTATTGTTCAAGCTAATTTAGTAAGTTATATTTTTATTGTCATATTTATTTTAAACATAACAATTAAAAATGAAATTATGTTTTAATTAGAAATTAATTTGAATTTTAATATAATTTAGACAATTCTGATAGTAAAGATTGACTCAGAGGTCTTGAAGCCATTTCTGATTACCTGTTACAATATCCAAATCTCTAGCTGATCTTCACTAACAGAGATATGTTAAGTTAGGTCACGTAATCATACAGATTAATGACAGCATGATGAAGCAACCAAGCAGATTTAGGCGTTTTTACCTCAAAAAATAATCTGGGACATGCTACATTGGCTGGTTGATCTAGAGGTCCAGACAATGCTGATGTTACACCCGGCATAGTGACAACTTTTTTTACTTTTCTCAGCACTGAAGAGGTTGGATCTTCATTAATTAACACTAATCCTTACTATAGCAGGAAATCATTACCCCTTTGCAAAAAGACAAAATGTCCACTTAACATTCATTTTGTGATTAGTAATTTGCTTCCATAATGTTCTAAACTATTTTCATGATCATTTCTGACAAAACATGCATATTAATATTGATACAAGTGGTAAATCATCAAGCAAATAGCAACTAATGGCAAAGTGAAAGAATTTTGTCAAGTAACTTTCTAAATATACAACAAATTATAATGCATAATAGTCTATCTATTGCAAAGTTTTGGTTTGCAGTAAACAGACAACAAAGAATAACTTTCCCAATTAGAAAAAACTAATTAGAATTAAGTATTGGAAGCTACAACCATTATATTTGACCCATTTGCACAATCATATTCTAAGTCTATGGCTATCAAATAATAATTAATGACATAAGCAAAGATCAACATAATTATATTCAGAATCTAAAAAAACAATTATTTTAAGAAAATTGATTTTATACTATTTTTTGTCCACATTCAATTATTTACTGTATAAATTAAATCACAATTATATTTTTTCCATTTACTGTGATTCTGGATCATAATTTATGATCTAAAATCAATTGTAAAATAAATTATATTAGAGATTTTTACTTTTGATAAATCACAGATTATAAACAAAAGCAATCTCACATAAGGAATCAAATGCATGGATATACCCAATCATGGCCTTGCTTTCTTATATTCACCATTTCACTGTTCATTAATATTTCTGTACTGTAGGTGTCTCTGTACAGTGGAACTTATCTAAGGAAATTGAGCACATCATCAAGTACTCAAAATGGCCCTGACCAAATGCCATTTTTGTTGAAGTATTTTTCAATTTTTTTTAGCTATTTAGAGATGTGACAAGTTTTTAACAAACAATAGTAGAACTGCTGGAAATTTAAACTTAAATCACTCAATAGCATAAAAAAAATTTTATTTCATTTGCCAATCTTAGAACACAAAGTTATATTAATTCAGTTAACAATTAAACTATTTTAACATCTGATACTATAAAAGCACAAATATTAACATAACTAATACAGTAAAACTTTTCTAACTCAAATGTCTTTAACTTGAATATTTCTTTACCTCAAAGAAAATGAAGCACTTGATAGGTCTCAATAGAAAAGCATAGGGATTTAATGTCTCCAACTCAAAGGTTTTCATGGTCCCCTGGCACTGATTTATGTTACTTTCAACTTCCATGACTCAATTTTAATAATTAGGATCACTTTGGATAGAGTTAATATCAGATTTCCATGAAACTTTCAGACAGTTGTACCTACTGTCCAACACACAATTGCAGATAACATTCCTGTCCAAAACAAGAGGACCTCTCACTTACCTTACCTCAACAGGACACATGCAAAACTGTTCAATTCCATTAATTACATTGAACATTCTGCTGAAAAGAATTACACAGGCTGTTTAAAATAAATAAAAAAAACTATCAAAGATTCTTTAAATAATGCAAAAGAAGTAAAAATACAAATCTATTCAGAATTGGCATTTGTCACTTTATTCTCTAACTGAAATCATCTGTAACTTACTTTTTCTTGCTCCTTGAAGATCGGAGTTAGAGAAGTTTTACTGTAGTTATTGAAATTATGTTAATTAGTAACAAATGTAAACTGTGCTTGTTCAAATAAGAATCAATCCAAAACATAAATCTCATTTAAATGACAATAGTGTAATTACATCTCAATTTACATCTAAACCAATTCTAATAGAATAAATGAATTTTGTTGAGTGGTGGTAAAAACAAAACATTCCAACTATACAGAAATGTCTTTAAAACTTTAAAGTTTCAAGTAAGAACATTCATTTAATTTATATGTACTGTAATATAAAGTCAACTTTGGGATCAGGATCTTTAAAATGAATTATTAATTAAAGATAAGGACTCAATTCCAGGAATTTTAAAACCCTGAAGACAAATGTTCTCAAAAATATTCTTTAAACAAGGGGCATGTTTCCTGGCAAAGCAACTTTAATACAGCAGAGTAAGCAAGCCAATATTATTGGTCCATTTCATTTGCAATGGGCTATGTCATTGGTTTGTTTATCCAGCTGTATCAAAGCTGCTTTACCAGGTAATATGCTCAAATTTTCAAGTTCCTTAAGCAGTTTTCAAAATAGATTAAAGTGAATACAAGAATTCTGTTGTGTTGTACAAGATACAAATTAAACATAAGGAGCATCACAAATCTAAATTATTGACAATTATAAAAGTTAAAACATTGAACATAGTAGCATATTTGGTCAATGATAAACTCCTATTTTTTTCTTTTTATAACAATAGTAGATCATATTGTAGAAACAAAAAATTTGCATTACAGGCACTCCTCACTTAATAACCAAGTTCTGTTCATACAATTAGATTCTTATGTGAATTGGTCAATAAATGAGCTTAATTTTGTTTCAGATAAAGAAAAGGTCTAAAAGAAACTCCAACTTCTTAACTTTGCTTTAATTTGTATCTCTTACATATTACAGACTTATAAAAATAGACTCAGCAAAAATTATTAAAATGTACCAAAATAGTTCATTCATTTAAAAAAAAAACTCATTCAGATTAATATTTTAGTCACTGAATCCTTCAAAATAGTGGTAATGGTTCAGGTTATCATTGGAGTTATCAGCAGGGTTAATCGGGGTGGTAGCAGGCCCGAGTAAGGAAGATGACTGAAGAAATGAAATACTTGAAGAGGTAGGAGTTATGGATATAACTTTGAGAAGAATGGATTAGTGTGATCTGCTTTGTAATTTTCCTTTTACATAAATTTTATGACAAAAGTTCATTTATTTGCTGTTCCACTTTCATGAACCATTCAAAATTTGTATTCTTACCCTCTAGTTCTAATATAGCTGCATTCAATTTTGAGAACCAGTTAATTCTTTACAATAAACTTCTTTTGTACTTCTATTCTTTCCTCTTCTTCTCTCAATTGCTGCTATGTTCCAACTCTGTTGCTTTTCCTTCAATTTTTGCCACCTCCTCTAGATGAAATCATGTTTTTTTCTTTTCAGACATTTTGTACTATAGGGGTGCACAATAAAGTACAAATTTAAAAATATGTAGTCTTGGAGATTGCAAGACAACCAACTGTGGAAATGACACTAAGACTATGAATGGGGATTCCTATACTAGAGTGACCATCTGTCCCCATTTTTGACCCTGTCTCCAGAATGGAGTCTTGTCTCTGTTTTGTCACTTCCTTGTGGTTACTGTAATATTGTCATTATGACAATTTTTATGCCAGAGGATGTGTCCAATGTCTTAGACATTTCCAGATAATTTTTTTTATGAAGTAACCAAAAATGAACCAAACTTTGAAACAAAAATGAGTAATTATTGCAACATCCTCACAATGCCAAGCTACATTTTTCGTCAGTGTTCTTAATTTCTTAGTCTTGTCCCTGTACATTATACTTTTCCTGTTAGCAACAGAGTTGTGCAGGTCATCTAACTCCTTTTCAGGGGAAATTTTGAATTGAAATAACATGACTTCTGGTCTAAACCAGAAGTTCATTGGTGCCTTCTGCCACTTCTTTCCACATCTGATCTCAACTTTCATCCATCTAACTCTGTTTTTGAGATTAAGGAAAGACAGACAGCAAGATGGACAACAGTGAGAATTTATAGATCCAACAATTTTTTCAAATTGCAGCTCAAGAAAAAATATAAAATGTGCCAAAAGTAAATAGCTATAAACCTTATTGGAGGAAAGCTATTTAAAACAAATAAGTTCAATCAAAATTAAAATGTTTAGGTGTCAGTCATGCCTATGTACTGTACAGTACAGTACCCATTTGATAGTACTTATACATGTATGCTGTACTGTGTACCCTAAAAAGCAATGATTGATTGTCCCCAGATTAATAAAAAAAAATCTGGTCACTATACCTATACTGAAGAGCTGGTAGTAATTCTGAAAGTTAACTGAGGAGTGGCTTTATCAGAAATTACTATACTCTCTATAACCTTCAGCTATTGCATCAATGAGTTTCCATTTGTTGATAAAATCAAAATTTTACAGACGATTTTTTTAATGCTTAATACATTTATAAAAAAGCAAGAAAATTCTGTGGACTATGGCAATCATAATTATCTGATTATGGAATATATGATGATATATATATATTGTGTTTTATTTATTAAACAGAGCTTTCACACTCATTCCATGTTTAAATTAATAAGCTTTTCAAACATTTGATTCCATCTTGTTCAGTGTTAATCATTTATCATAAAAAATGTGTGTGTCATGAGGAAAACATATCTTTGATGATGGTTTGCCTGAAAAAATATAAAATGTTATTAATGCTTTTGATTTGTTACATGCAATGATGTCATATATTAATTATTAAGAAAGGCTTTAATATATTCAAACCCGTAATACTGATTATTATTGTGCCAAAATACTTGAATTTAAATTCAAAATGTACATAATGTTGTGATAATTTTCAATATTTACAGAATAAAATATTGAAAATATAATACGATAGAAGATATAAAATGAATTTTTTTTATTTATATAGTTTTAAGCAAAAATATTCATGCTCAAGTAAATGTAAGACTACAACAGTTCTAGTTAAATACAATATTTAAAATTCCAGTAATGAAATAACCCATTAAAAAAATACTTCCAATTATCACATTTAAGTCATCAACATTTTTGGTGCAATTGACATTGACATCAATTCTTGAAACAGTAATTTACAAGCATAAGGTATTCTCACTTGTGTTATTTGTGTTTTGTTTTTGCAACCTTTACACTCAAATGTGTTATTTCTTAGATTTGCAATTGCAATCAGTCCACAGATGTTACAGATGTGGACCCTGTAAGGATCAGATACTTCAAATAATCTTTCCCTCATAAACTGAGCAGCACCATGTGCAATCTGACAGTCTCTTTCCATCTCTCCAAAACGAAGACCACCATCTCTTGCTCTTCCTTCCATGGGTTGTCTAACAAGAATCTGAATGGGACCTCTTGCTCTAGAATGAATCTTGTCATCTACCATGTGTTTCAATCTTTGATAATAAGTGGGCCCTAAAAATATCTGAGCATTAACTTTTCGACCTGTGTGACCATTATACATCACTTCGTTTCCTCTCAGATGGTAACCGTATTCTTGAAGAAGATTGGAAATTTTTTGTACATTTACAGTATCATTAAAGGGAGTAGCATCACCAATTTCTCCTTTATTTGCTGAAACTTTGCCTTGAAGACATTCAATCAAGTGACCAATGGTCATACGAGAAGGAATGGCATGAGGATTGATGATAATATCAGGAGTTATTCCTTCTGCAGTAAATGGCATGTCTTCTTGCCTGTAAGTTATACCACAAGTACCTTTTTGACCATGCCGACTAGCAAATTTGTCCCCAATCTGAGGGATACGTACAGAACGAACTCTAATTTTACAAAATTTATAACCTTCTGCATTTAAGGTTAACATAACCTGATCAACAATTCCTGTCTCACTGTTTCTCAAAAATGTACTGGCATCACGCTTTGTAAATCGCTTATTAGTACCTTCTAATTCATCATCATTTTCTGGTAATGTAATTGTTTTTCCAATAATTACATCATCACCAGATACTCTAGTACCAGGAGCAATGATACCATCTTCATCCAATTTATCATATATGGCATTGCGCATACCTTGACAAATGTCTTTTGTTGGTCTTTCAAACTGTTCTTCCTGATCACCTACACGTTTGCATTCAGAGTCTTTGTAAGCACGATAAAATACAGATCTAAAAAATCCTCTATCAATTGCTGATGCATTCATGATGATAGAGTCTTCTTGATTGTAACCTGTGTAAGACATGATGGCAACAATTGAATTAATTCCTGCAGGTAATTCTCTAAAACGCAAATATTCCATAGAGCGTGTTGTCACAAGTGGTTTCTGAGGATAATATAAAACATGAGCAAGTGTGTCCATTCTTACATGGAAATTAGTAATATACACCCCCATAGCTTGTTTACCCATAGCAGATTGATATGTGTTACGGGGAGATTGATTATGATCAGGAAATGGAATGATGGATGCACACACACCTAAAATCATTGAAGGATGAATTTCACAATGAGTATATGTGGAACAATAGAATTGGCTTCTATCTTGAAGATCATCAGGAGTCATTGCAAGCATTACTGTTTCTTCTTCCATTGTATCAATGTATTCAACAACACCACTTGCCACTAAATCTTGCCAACTATAATTATTATACTCTCTTTCTTTCAGTCTATCAATATGTCTTTTCTTTAAAAGCAGTTTTTGTTTTTCAACAATCAGTAATGGTCGACAAATCCTTCCAGCATCAGTATAAATACGAATCTCTCTATCACGAATGTCTCTAACCATTGAGACTTCTGATACAACAATATCCATTTGACGTCTTAATTTTCGTAATGTGCTCATTAGTTGATCGGGATCTCTGTGAATGCCCACCCAACAACCATTAACAAATATCTTAGTTGCTTCTGCTATGGCTGATGGGGCAATTTCTTCCAAATTTTCCATACTCCATTCCTCTAAAAACTCCAGAATGGGGGATGGTTGTGATCCAACTGAAATGTAGGCCATTAAAGCCAAATTCTTTACCAGACCTACTGCATGACCTTCTGGTGTTTCGGCAGGACATATCATTCCCCACAATGTATTATGAAGTTGTCGAGGTTTAGCAAGTTTACCATCACGACCAATTGGCGAATTCACTCGACGAAGATGAGAAAGGGTAGAAGCATAAGTTAATCTATTTAATACTTGAGACACACCTGCTCTTGCTTGATGCGCTTTCTTTTGATCACCCCAATTTCCTGTTGCCAACGAATATCGAAGGCCATCTGTTATTATCCTTGTTTTAATAGCTAATTCCAGATTGAAATCTTTTCCTCGATCAATGAACTTCTGTGCATATAAACGAACTTCTTTTGTAAGATTTCTGAATAAACCTCTGAACAAAAATGCAAGCAAAGGTCCTGCCAAATCTAGTCTTTTATTACCATAGTGATCTCTGTCGTCCAACTCTCTACGGCCCAAAGCAGCTAACAATAATCTATGGACCATATATCCTAGATAATAAGCTTTTTTTGTTTCACAGAAATCACTAACACCAACATGAGGTAACATTTCCTTTTGTAGAATTTCTCGAGCATATTTAATTCTTTTTTCTTTTGTAACACCAGGTCGTGCACCACGTGCTCCAATAAAATTCAAAGCCACGTTTTGTTCCTGAATAACAAAAGCTTCATCTAATGATGGTTTTACCATTTCCATCATTTCTGGATCTTCAAAATCATATATAATATGTTCTAAAATATCTCTATCTGCCACAAATCCCAATGCTCGAAACACAATCATTATTGGAATTTCTTGCTTGATATAGGGAAGAATGGCAATGATTCGTTGACCTATGGCACTTTTTCTGACACCCTGACCTCCTCTGGCTAACATATTTACCCAAAGCGTGCTGGTCGGGCGTGAAGAGTGTTCCAAACAGGATCGACATTCTGCCTTATAGGCATATTTTGAATCTTTCATGGAAAACACATACACAGTATTTGTTGCCATTTTCTCTTGAGCAATCAGCACTTTCTCCGATCCATTTATTATGAAGTAACCACCGGGATCCAACGGACACTCGTTTAACTCTGTCAAATCACGATCGGTAAGTCCGCTCAACAAGCAGTACGTAGAACGGAGCATAATGGGAATTTTCCCAATAAAGGTTTTCTGGTGTTGCGTTTCAATCGGATCCTCTCCGTCTTTAATAACGGTTTTCGTAATATCCACATAAAGAGGAGCCGAATAGGTAAGATTCCTCAGGCGAGCTTCATTAGGCATCATTGGACTCGGAGCGCCATCTTTCTCCCAATGAGTTGGTTTTGACAGATAAATTTGCTCGAATTTAAGCAAATAACGAGGTGGTGTTTCGACTTCTCCCGTTGTATGTTGTGCTTCGGCCTGAAGATCGATTTGAGGCGTGTCTTCGACAATTCTTTGCACAGACATTTGAATAAATTCATCGAAAGAGTCGAGTTGCTGTCTAACGAGGCCTTTCTCATCAAAGTAAGCGCTGATGACAATCCAACAGGCTTCTTGCCACAAATCTGGGGTAATTTCCTCCGAATCATCATCTTCGTAGTTTTCGTCTTCATACATTATGATCACGAAGTAATCTCACTGATATTTTCACAATATATATAGTCTAATTTAACACTAAAACCAACGTACAACGCACTCGGATTACTCTTCGTATGATTTCATGTTGCCAGTTGCAATTGCAGTTTATAACTCAGAGAACGAGATTATCGATCTTTTTGTTTGGTCGTAATAATCAAGGGAATTTAAGAAAAGAGTAAAATCTAAAATAATACTTTTCAGAATTGCTATATTTATTTTATTATTTAAAAAACTAAAAAAAAATAACAAACAATTTAAACATCCGATTGTCTGTTTTGCTAATCCGGTACCGCTTAGGGTGACGACGTAGAAAACTAAACGCATTCCCATCGGAAGAACCCATGTGTTTGGTGCGAAATTTTCTCTTTATTCTTTGATTAATATATCGCACAACATAATCCATTTTAATATGTAAGCGGAGAGAAGTTAAATACAAACGAAAACGTCAAAACGATATTCTCATAAATGAATATTTTTGAATATAATCTTATCCCAAATTATTCTATTATTATATTACTAAAACCAAAATAGAATAATGAATAATTTTATACTTTCAAGCGATAAATAAAATAAATAATTTTAAAATAAGCAAGCGATAAATACTTTATCAATTTATATACTGTATTCTAATATTTATCGTGTCATAAAATGATGTTAGGTGGCGCTTTTCAAACACGTTTCGTTGGCTAAAGTGAAGGCGTGCAACTGCAACAGCTGTGATTGTGATGTCGAGGCTGCTGATTTATTCCTTTTGTCGTTCGGTTAAATCTGTTTCCCGTTTATCGTATTACAGAGCAATGTCGACAGGATTTTTGGTAGACGATGCTAAATATTCTTTTTTGAAAGAATTAGGATTAGAGAAAAGAAATAATGGCGTTTATAATGGTCGATGGATGGGAAGTGGAAAAGTAAGATCCAATTTGACAAATATGCATTTAATTTCAGATATGAACATTATAATTCATCGTAATTAAAGTTATATATTGCATATATTCAATTGATATGGTTCTTTTTAATCTTGTCAAAAGGATGAAAAGTCATTATTTATCATTATCATTCAATTAATATTCTTCTTACTTATTGTCAATTTGATAAAAATTGATAAAAAGAAAAGAAAAAACTACAAAATCATTATTTAACTCTGAAGGGAAACTTGACACATTTATTTAATATGCATTTTAACTGTTACAATAAGTTTAATATAATAAATTTTAATTTTTATATTATATAATAAATATATAAAATTTTACGTAGATTTAAGAGTTATATTAATATGTAACTGATAACATGAACATGACTTAGTGTTAGAATATAAGTTTTTTAATATCAGTTAAATGCTAATCAAAGTTTCTTTTCCTGATTTTAACACATAATTTCACAAGAGACCATAAAAAACCTTACTAAACCATCTTTTTATTTTCATGTATAAATGCATTTATCAGAAAAAGAAGAAACTTTGATCAGCATTTAACTGTTATTGAAAAAGTTTATATACTAATACTAAACTTGACCCATTGAAGATATACTCATTTAGGTATAAGTAACTTAAAGGAGATGGCCAAATGTTTGAGTCTCCTATTCAAATGAAACTTGGTGAGCGTGTGTATGTGAGTGTGTGCACACACACACACCCACAGAATTCTTTTGCCTTTTTTTTTTTTTTTTTTTGCTTAGATTCAGGTGGTCTCAAAACCAGGGCTGCGGAGTCGGAGTCGTGGAGTTTTGGTGTTTTAGCCGGAGTCAGATGGCAAGGAAAAGTCGGAGTTGGAGTCGGTAGATTTTTACGCGACTCTACAGCCCTGGCAGGGCTGTGGAGTCGGAGTCGTGGAGTTTTGGTGTTTTAGTCAGAGTCGGATTGGTAAGGAAAAGTCGGAGTTGGAGTCAGTAGATTTTTACGCGACTCCACAGCCCTGCTCAAAACATGGAGATTTGCAAAAATGTCTGGGGATCAAATTTGACACGATTCCAATACTTTTCCTTGTTATGTATACATAACAGCCGGGAAAGTAAAGTTTGTTTTCTAACATACGTTATTTAATAGAAGAAACATTTTGTACAGAATTTGTTATATCCAACTAAGGGCTCTCTCAAGAACCTTTAAATCCAATTCTTTTTCTAGATGATCTCCTGAAATCTCTAGAGTCAAATTTTTGAAATTGCTTTATCATTACATGTAAAAATAAATTGCCTCTTATATGCAGACAATTTTATTTTTTGACTAACATAACAGGACATGTCAGGACAACCAACTAACAGTTAATCTCAGAAAAATGAAAATAATGATTTTCTGAAGAGGTGGCAAGCTTAAAAAATGGATAAATTATATTTAGAGAATCGCGAACTGGATGATGTCACAAACTTTAAATATTTAGATATTTACTTTCACTCACAGCTCGTTTTCTTTGCATTTGGTCTTTGCAAAAATCACTCTAGATCAGGGGTCGCCAAACTTTTTTGATCATCGACCCCCTACAACTTTTCAAAACCTCACATCGACCCCCCACCAAAAAGTTTGTGTTACAAGCAAAAAAAGCTCTTACTATTTTAATATATATCTTTTAATTTTACATTTTTTACATTTATTGTATGTATGTTACTAATAATTTTTGTAACTTACAATCAATGAGACAGGTAAGCTTGATAATCTTTTGCAAGATTAGCAATATTCGGTTCAAAATTTGTAAGTTTTAGTTTTTTCATCGACCCCCAATAATGTTATAACAACCCCTGGGGTCAATATGGACCACTTTGGCGACCCCTGCTCTAGATGCTAAAGCAAAAATTTTGAATCTCATCAAGTTTCTTGTTAAATTGAGAATCTCATGTCTTATTAACTATTATAGTTTATCTAATGAGCTAATTAGATTATTTTATATGCATTTCCTATATGGGGAAGATTGTTGGTAGACAAAGTTGAAAAAACACAATTATTTTTTGTTTAAATCATTTTGTGCCAGAGCCTATGATAAGAATTGAATTGGATTGGCCACCTCTGGCTGTTAATATATCACTGTGTTTGTTACTTTTCTGGAATAAAATTATTGCTCTACCAAGCAATGATTACAGACAATTGATATATAACAAACTCTCATTACCCAATAGTATGACATCTCATGAGTTGTGGCCCACCACTATTAAAAATTTGTTAAACAATCTTGGATATCCTTTGCTAACTGTTTTATTTTCATTAGAAAAAATATGATTTTAAAATATTGGATAATATCCCTATTATATGTCCATCTGTTTATTTATTGTCTAATATAAATTATAAAATTAAATCATTATTCATTCAGCTTTGTCTAAATACATATATGATTATTTTAAAGGGAAAAGAATTGTTATACTGAATAACACTGAATATTCTTTTTGTAAAATGCTTATAGCAGATATGGTAAATCATCTGTTTTTGTTGTGCAAAATGCTTTCTGAAATAAATCAATTGATGGACCTGATTTTAACTATATTAATTTACTAGATGACAACACTATAAATTCTATAACTTTTTTGTTCAAACACTAAAACTTTTGTAACTTTTCATTAACTCCTTTGTAAAAGCTATTGCTATATCAATTAAAATAATAATTATTATATTTTTCTGTGCCTTCCCATATTTTTAAATATATAACCAAGACTAGTTTTCAGCCAGAATGCACTGATATGTTGTTATCAGATAGTATAAGAAGTATTGATAGCTTGATACTGTACATAGTACCAACAGTTACTCAGTAAAAAAATTCTATATATTTAATCACTATATATGCATACCATCAGTAATTTTTTTAATAAAAAGAGCATTATATATAACCCATGACAGTTTATAATGCAAAAAAATTGCTAGAACAAAAGTAAAACCTTTGCAAAAATCTTCATCATATACCCTGTATGTCTGTGGAGCCAACTGCTTCATACATGCAAATTTTGTAATTGCAATTTAAAATCAGCATATAATTTTCCCATTGTATAATCCACATCCCTTTTCAACTCATTTTTTAAATACTATGGGTATTACTCACAAAAATACAGTCATTTGTTTGTTTTTATCAAATGCTTTGTTTATAAGAATCTTATGTATATAGTTTATCAATGTTCATATTGATTTAAACTTGTAATTTATTAAATAAATATTTAAGCACTTTAATAGAAAAGAAATTATCTCAGCAATTCTTTTAACAAATAAATGTATATTGTTTACCCTGAATTTGCTATCAATAACTTTGTGCAGGTTTAATTTCCAATATAAGTCAATCAGATATCAATGCAATAGACTATTAGCCTATCATCTTTGAGAATCTAAGTTTGAATCTTACCTAAATTCTCATAATTTATCATAGACAATAGAGAGTAGATAATTATACTGTACATTATGAAGTTTGGTGAAACATACTAAAATGTATTTTGTTTAATTTTTCTATTAGATAATTACTTCAGTGTCTCCAACAAATGAGAAACCAATTGCTGAGGTGATTTCAGGAACAGTTCAAGATTACAATGACACCGTCACAGTCTGCAATGAAGCCTGGAAGACCTGGGTCGATGTACCACCTCCTCTACGTGGTGAAATAATACGACAGATTGGACATGCGTTAAGAGAAAAGAAGACTCAATTAGGGAAATTGGTTTCTTTGGAGATGGGTAAGATATTACCTGAAGGAGAAGGAGAGGTACGTATATTTTAATTGATCCTGTAGAATAATCAAAATATTAATTATATAGTAAACTAAGCCCAAAATTATAAATTACTGATAATCAAATGATAATGCCAAATTCTTTGGGCCCATACCATAACTTGGTTAATTACATATATAGATTAAAATATTTATATTTATTAAAAATCTTCCAATTATCCAAAATTATAAAATAAATTTTTTTAAAGGTTCAAGAATACATAGACATTTGCGATTATGCAGTTGGATTATCCAGAATGATTGAGGGGAAGGTTCTTCCATCTGAACGACCTGGTCATGCTCTCATAGAAATGTGGAATCCTCTTGGTACGATTGGCATCATCACTGCTTTCAATTTTCCTGTGGCAGTGTATGGTTGGAACAATGCTATAGCAATGGCTTGTGGTGATACCATGATATGGAAAAGTGCAGGAACAACTCCTTTGACTAGTATAGCTATAATTAAAATTTTATCATCTGTTTTAGAGGTAAGATTTTACATTACCAAGTTTTAGTAATTAAACATAGACATTAATAATCAATCATAAAGTACAAAATTATATCAAAATTAACTCTTCAAATATAAGTACAAATCATGAATACTATTAAGTTTGTCATCATTTAATAAAAATAATAAATAATGTTGGATATCTGTTATTTGACCATAAAATTACACAAATACACTTTTTGTACATTTCAGTATTAACTTTACACACTGAGCAAATATTAGAAGGTTAGAATAATTTAAAGAGCTTTGAATTATTCCACTTTAGAATGCAACATAACTACTTCATCTTTGGATGACTTCTAACCTGAGGCAGACCTGTAAATCGGGCCAAAAATGTTTGTTTGATGTGTAAAGTTAATGCTGAAACATGAAAAGTGTGTTTGTTTAATTTAACCAAAAATTTCAGCAGTTAGAAGACAGTTGAATTCCATTAAATTACTTCATAAGTAAAAATATTATTAAAGTAGATAAAATAACATGAAGTTAGTTCAAATAATGTAGGAAAATTACAACATTATAGCTTGATTAAATTGATAACAATTTAGGTTAAATGTTAATTGACAAATTGTCAGAACAATCTAAATTGAATTCAATGCATAAAATCTTTGTTTTAAGTTTGCACAAAAACGTTATCATTATATATTCATTCTAGAAAATTCTCAGATATTCATCATCTCAGCTATTATTATTTTAGGCATTTTTCTAAAATTGGATTACCTTAATCCCAGAATAGGGAATAAAACATGTTATAAGCTAGATTATGTAATTAAATTACATGTCTTTACCATGCATAGATGGAGCGCCATCAGTGCAAATGCTAATACAAGTTTGCCACCTCATTCCTCTCAATATGACATTTTGGTTTACCAGGTTAAAGACATCTTTTCCTCTTGTTCTTTCCTTCAATTCACAGCAAAAGAAAAACTGACTTATGATTTTACCACCTCTGATTATTCTCAGAAATGTAATTAGTAGAGCTTTGTTGCTGATGTCTGTACTTTCATCGATTTGTAAGGTTTTTGAGTTCATTTTTTGCTTCAGTGAAATGTTTGCGAAGCTGATCATCAATATTTCGTGAAATGTTTTTAATTTTATGAGAAATCTTGTGGGTTGACAAAGGAATGGTCTTAGTTTGTTTGATGGCTTCTTCATTAATCATTGTGCCAATGGCAATTTCCAAGGCTGGTAAAATAATGTTTTCAGCATCAGAATGTTTTTTTAATTAAGTTAATGCATTTCATAGTATATACAGTATTAAAATTTATTACTAATTAATTATTTAATAATTAAATAATGCATAACTAAAAATGCTGAAATCATTGTTAATTAACGTAAGTCTAGATGATTTTTCATCATCTAGACTTACAATATAATATAGAATTTGAAAATTTTATTTTCACTCTTAGACAGTCTATGGTGTCCTCGCACATTTTTACCTATATTTTTAAATCTTTCATGGTACATCTGGAATTTCTTGTGGCATAGTAGTGTGCCGCCCATACAGTTTGGCAGACACTGGACTAGACGATTAATTGTGTCATAATATGCACATCGAGAACTTTTTACTTGTTTATCAAAAGCATTTGCTTGGAAGTATAAGGTAATCATTATTCATACCAGTGGAAATGCTTTTGCTTCTACCTTTTATTTGAAGCATTAGTTTTTACTTCTACCTTATGCTTATTAGCATTTCCTTGGTTTTTATTCATATGGACCAATAACTCACACTTGAGACTTTTATTTATTTTTGTATTGTTAGAAATGTCCTTACATTCTTGGATAATTGTATGCAGATTTTCCTTTATAAACAGATAAAAAATAAAATGAGTCCTCTTTCATCCCCTATCCACTGCACACACACGAACATTATACAGTACTTCATTTATGTTATTCCTGTTGTAAATTTGTGGAATGTGTGAAATTTAAAATAACTTTGATCTCTGACTGGGACATTCTACAGCCTCACAGATTACAATTTTTTTCCTTTCTTTCTATGGAGACTAATAAAGATTTTTATTCATTTTCATTATGAATTCAACCAGGCAGGCAAGAAGTGGCATCTAACATAGCTGGATCAAAATTTGAGAGTGATCAGACTAAAATATTATCCCTCAGAACAGTAGAATGACATTTTTATTGCTTTAACATTTTTGTCAATGAGTTATGAGACAGTTGTTTCAATTTTTTAAAATTTGTTATAAGCATACACTTGCTAAATGTAAGTTATATTTATGTAGGATATAGTATGAAATTAAAAATATGATGAATGCAATTGCAATAATAATAATAATAATAATAATTAATGATGTAACGAATATTCGGTTACTATTCGGTATTCGGCCTATTTTTCACTATTCAGCCGAATACCGAATATTTAATCACTATTCGGCCGAATACCAAATACCTAAAAGCAGGAGTAATAAATAACAAAAACATAGTAAATTAATCATTTTGTTATTTAGATTTAATGTTATCGAGTTATTGTTGTTTGTTTATATTTATTTATAACTTGTAACATGCACAAAATAAAAAAGAAAATAATATTAGTTACTTGTATTCACAATTTATAGTTACAAAGATCAGCATACGTACACGTCTATCGTTGGAGAATCCTCGCACATCTGAGGGTCTGACCCTGCCTATCCTTCTTTTTAAGCACTTGTCTTTGCTCTTCCCTTTCTCTTTCCTCTATCACTCTAATCCATGTATGCCTGTGCATACATCATAATACATGCTCATGATACTTTTGATTCATCACTTTTCCGTCGTAGAGTTCCCATTTTACAATTACATGACAGCCTGGTGATAACGGAGAAAAGAGACAGATAGGACGTCGATATAAGTCAGAGTTATGATTTCACAGATTTGAGACAGCTTGATAGCCCGAACGGCCCCAGGCTTTTGCTCGTGCACGCTAAGTCATTACAAGCATTTAGCTTTCCGAAGTCTCTGACAACAATTGTTTGGCATTGACGGCCGCGAATTTCATGCCAATAAGCTGCCTCGACTTGTTCGATTATGTTATCGACTCAATTTCATATTTGTTTTCACATATTCACTTCGCGGTCCTTCTCTGTTCTTTTTTCCGTTATTTACACGTGTAGGTCATTTCATTGTTATCCACATTTGATATCATCATTTATCACATACTTCCATGACACTCTTGTCTGTCCGCTACAACTGCCAAGAATTAACGCAATTGGCGAAGCGTAGTGACAGCAGGCCAATAGAGAGCAGATGCCATAATGCAGTTTGCGCACCAATTTTCATATGTGCGTTAATCAAGCCGAATATTCGGCTATTCGGCCACGCTCCTGGCCAAATATTCGGTATTCGGCCTGAGGCCGAATATACTATTCGTTACAACACTAATAATAATCCATTCCAACTAATTGGTTTTGACTAATCTTGTATTTAAAAGTTCAACAATTAATTTGTTTTATAACTAATTATTGAATTTTAGTTGATGTGGGAATAACATTATTTCAATTTCTCATATAATTGATTTCTTTTTATTTATAATTTATGAAGTTTCTATTAAATCTAAAATAAAAAATAAAGCAGAAATTTTGTTTGCTGTAAATTGTATAAATAAATTATTGATAATATTTTGAACATTAATTTTTATTTTATATTTTAATACAAATTTATCAAGAAACTAAAATGGTGAAAAAATTTTATTTGATAAGTAGTATCAATAACTTATGAAAATTTATCAAAGAAATTTTGACAAAAATGATTTTTTTTTAGAAAAATAATTTGCCTGGAGCCATTTGTTCTTTAATTTGTGGGGGACCTGATGTTGGTGAAAGTATGACAAATGATACACGATTGCCATTGATATCATTTACTGGAAGCACTCAAGTTGGATTGAAAGTGGCACTGAATGTTCAGCAAAGATTTGGGAAAACAATTTTAGAATTAGGAGGAAACAATGCAATTATTATTGCAGATGATGCTGACATAAAGATGGTGGTGAGCTCTGCTCTCTTTGCTTGCGTTGGTACTGCTGGTCAAAGGTGTACAACAACCCGAAGAATCATTGCTCATGAAAAGGCAAGTTATATGTAATTAAGTTCATAAATTTTCTTTGTCAGAAATAAGATATATTTTAATATAATGTGAAATATCATTAATAAAAAATTTCAACATTTGTTTTATCAGGTATATGATGAAGTCCTAGATAGATTAAAGAAAGCATATTCCCAAATTAGAGTGGGAGATCCACTTGAATCTGGAACGATGTATGGACCTCTTCATACGAAACAGGGAGTTAATGAATATCTTGCAGCCATTGAAGAGGCAAAGAAACAAGGTGGAGTCATTGAATATGGTGGAAAGGTATAAGGTTTTATACAATTAGGCATTTTATTATTGTTTTGCTGAATATCTCTTATTACTTTTTAATTAATTTAGAAAATTGATAGAGAAGGAAATTTTGTAGAACCCACAATTGTATCTGGTTTATCACATGATGCAAACATTGTTCACAAAGAGACATTTGCTCCAATTGTTTATATTTTGAAAGCTAAAAGCGTTGATGAAGCTATAGCTTGGAATAATGAAGTCAAACAAGGTCTTACTAGCAGTATCTTTACAGAAAATCTTGGAAATGTGTTTAAGGTTAGTAAATTATTTGTGTGTATATTTATTGATATAACTTTTTGATATTAAATTTTGAATATAATATAAAACAAGACTGGTGAAGCCTATCTGAAAGCATGCGCTACAAAAGTGAATCAAATATTTTAAAAAATAAATTTATTATTGTTATTATATTAAATTTATTATAATAAAATTTAATTTTATACAATACCGAGTAGTTTTTACTATAGCTTATAGTGACTGTAAACGAAAATGTTCAGTTCCCTTTTGCACATGTGTGTAGATATGCATAATAAATGATCAAATGACTATAGTGGAGCTATAGTCATTTGATCATTTATTGGAGAGTTTCCTTATTATTTTTAGCACGTTGGAGCGTGCTAAAAATAATAAGGAAATAGATCAAGTAGTTGTTGTGCATGGGCATGTGCAATAAATGGCTTGAACAGAACATAATACTTAGGTAACTCCTATGCCTAACATTGGTAATTTCTTGCTGATCAAGTTTAGGCTTAAGTTATAAGTCTAATTTCCAACGTTTGGATTGAATGGAACACAACATTTAGGTAACGAAAGTGAAGTCATTGTGCATACACATGGAATCTGACAGATAGACAAAAGTCCTAACATAAGCACTTCTCCACTACTGTGAAGTGTGCTAAAAATGAAGAGTTTAAAAAATGAATTCATAATAACTTTAATTTATCTGGCTAATAGAGCTAACCTTTCAAATTAAAAAGTGTTTGCTGATTTACAAGTGCTTTCAATCCTAGTACGATCACTTTTAGGTCTAGTCAATAACTGAATGTAACATAATGTGTTCTAAATATATTTAAATGTAAGAATTTAATATTTAAACATAGAATCCTTAGTCTGCAACTAGAAAATACTGGTGCATTAATGAATGAACCATTTTTTTCTCAGATTATATTAAAAAAACTACTTTTTTGGAGAACTAACTTTCTCACAAACAATTTTAGGTAGTGTTTAAAATAAAAATGTGCATATTATTTGAAGGATAATAAATAATTGTTATTACATACATAATAATGTAATGGGTATAAATTGGATATAAGAAATGGGATTTCTTAAATTATTTTTCTTGGTCCTATATTATCTCATTGTTAGGATGGGCTGAAAAGGCAACTAGAACTGTATTAACTCTCATTTCCTAGACATCAAATTTGTGTTCTTTGATTCTACAGTTGTCTCACACTACATTATAAATATCTTACACTATGTATGCAACCTACATAGTGTGAGATATTTATAACAAAATTCCTGATCTATGTTAGGTAATTTGTATATTTTGCATTTTATATTTTTCAATGATTGTTATTTTTAAGAAATGCAAAGGGTATATTGTGGAGTTTCTGCAGAATATGGGAATTATTACATATAGAGTAAGGCTTTATTTTTAAATAAATTAAACAGTATTAGACTAATTATATCTGGATTTCAGCATTTTAATACAATAATAAATGCAGATAATTTCAGTCTCAAGCTTATTAAAGAATTATTTTTAAGACTGATTTTAAGTTCTGACCATTTAATCCAAATTATTTAAAAGCAAGATTTTCCATATTCAATGATTGTATGCATTATTATTAATTAAATATCTGAAGATAAAGTCCTTCTAAAAAAGGAACCACCATTTATTATCTTTGTATTATAGACTATACGTTCTTGGCGACTGGCCACCAAAAAGTCCTTTTAAAAACACAAAAATACATCCAATAAAAAATAGAAAAATTTTTTAAAAAGGAATTAGTGGCATACAGACGTCTTCTATCTACCATCATACCTTCTTGGGTTGTTTCGACCTTTTATCTATGTAGAAATGCACGCTGGTAAATGTAGATTAAAAAAGTTAAAAAATTAATTTTAACTTCAAAGAATATGAATGAATTTGAATTGATTTTAAAAAATAATTAATTTGTGCTGCAAAGACCATTTTTATGATCTTCATGTTAATAAAACTTACAAAAAAAAATTAGTATAAACTTATTCATTTCTTTATTTTATACACAGTTTTTTCTCTTATCCATAGCATATAAACAGGTTTTTGAGGTTTCAAATGGAACAGCTAACTGAACAATTTAAATGGTTAATAAACAATAAATTTATTATATAAATGTCTATTCAAGAAAGAAATATTTAGACTAGAAAAATATGTTTGCTCCTAGGCAGGATTTGAACTCATTTGGCATGTTATTAAAGAATCAATCGGGAGGTCAAGGATAACATTTAGTGTGAACTCTCTTATTGAGATCATTCATTAAATAAGTTCTTACCACATAATATCCTCAGTGTGTTCACTTTTGCTCCTTGCATAATTCAAGACTAAGCACTTGAGTCTTGTTTTTCTTTGTTCAGTGGACATGTGTTTTTTTACTATCAGATTTATATTGTGTGTTTATTTAAAAACTTTATTTTCAAAAATAGTGTGTAAATCAGTTTTAAAACTAAAATATAATATTTAATAAGCTAATTACTTGATAAACTACTTGCATATTATTTTACTTTGTGGAAAATAATATGCAAATAGTTAAATGAAGGTTAAGATTATCTTTGAAAATCTTTATAGGAGTAAAGGAAGAATTATGTCCTGTTTTGATCTAGACTGCTTAGATAATTTATTTATATCAAGAACTGGATTAATTTTTAATTACTTGAGTCTAGCAGTTCTGAGGCACAGATATTTTTGCAGTTTTAGTTTGTTTAAATTATTCTTTGCTACTGTGATTATTGAAATATTATAAAGAAGCACAATATGAATCAATTCAACAATAAAAATTTATTCAGTGAATTTACAGAATTTATAGAATATAAAACTATAATTTCTGGCCAACTAATGTAGTAGTGTTATAATAGTCAATATAAATGTGAAAAACATTATTTAAATGATGTTCAGGAGAATAAATTCTGAAATATTTGTCAATTTTAGTGGATTGGTCCCAAAGGTTCTGACTGTGGAATTGTCAATGTCAACATACCCACCAGTGGAGCAGAAATAGGTGGTGCCTTTGGAGGAGAAAAGGTAATTAAAATTTAGATCCTGTTTTTTTTTTTTTATTATAGCTTCATTCTTTACAAGAGAAATTACAAGCTTATTAGTTGAGAAGAAACATTGTTTTTCAGACTTCCTTAGCATTATTTTAAGGTGTAAATTATTCATAAATTTGTTGCAAAGTTTGAAAGTTATTGTTATTAATTCAGCCACATTTTCAGATTGTAAGGTGTAGTCTATTAGTTAATGATTCCAGCAAACTATTTAATTTCACAAATGCTTTCATCCTTATTGAAAGGCAATCTTCAGGCGAGAAAGATTCAAATCATTTATATTGTTACAGAATTTGAATCTCTTCATATGTTATAATGTTCTAATTTTAGAACTGTTTAAAAAATAGTTTAACAGCTTCAGTAATCTGACATTGATCAATTAGGTGTTACAGAATTTTGTCAAGCTTCCCATTAAAAATGGCAAAAATCAAGCCTGAGCTTTGGCACAATATTCAAGTTATTTAGGCTTGTCATCTTAGGATGCTCAAAAAAGGCACAGTAACTTATAACACAATATTGTATAGAAAAATGTTTCTCAAAATTTTGCACAAAAATGCTGTACAGAGTTTCTAGTTAAGCCAATAAATGAATTAAAATTAAATTATGGTTTGATATTTTCTTTTCAAGTAATATGAAAATTATTAAATGATGATTTTAATATTATTTGAAGAGAAAGGTTAACCTAGATATCTCATTGAAATCTAACCTAAGCTAAATGATTGCAGAATTGGATGGTTATTAGACTGTTGTGTGTTAGTGATTTAAATGCTATTATAACAATGAAAATATGAACTTTCAAAAGAACACATTCATGCACTGTTGCTCTGTCACTTAAAAAGTGATCACAATGCAACAAAAACTTGTGATCTCATCTCAAAGCATTTGTTAGTGTTCACAGGTAAACAAAGGTCAACCAATTGATACAAAATGTCAAATAGCCATTTTATGCTCATGGGATCAAAAGTTTGCACCAAAGATAATGAGATGTAATTGATATTGATGGTGATAACCTATCAAACTGAACTATAATTGTTGAATGAATTTTTTATACTTTTTTCTGTCTAAAGTTCACTTTTAAAACTTGATATAAAGAGAAGAGTAAATGATTTTGACAAATTACGTATTAGAAGAGCTTCACATTAGTGGTGTGCCAAAAATGGACTATGGGGACTAGGGTGGTCCTCTAAATTTCTTGAAGTACTATCTAAGTATTATTTTTAATCTATTTGTGTTTGAAACCTTTCACTTGAAAAATATGTATTTTTTAGTGTATTTTTTCCAACTTCCTCCCCTACTTTATGTTTCATTCAACTCTTCCACGAACCTACCTGAACATCCCTCAAGAGCTCCTTTAGTTGACTCATTGACAGAACTAGCTTTCAGACGTATTCCTGTCATACTGTAGTGTTTGGTGTGCATCCAGGCAGTTCTGTAATAAGAGATTTTGTTTCTTGTGCTTATTGAAAACAAAATTGCATTAGTGATTTTTGTATTTCTATTATCATAAAACACTTAAAAGTTTTCATCTAAAGTGTGAATCTACTTAAAAAAACTGTACAGTAATACCCCAACTTACGCGAACCCGGAGTTACGCGATTCTCAAATCTCGTAGATTCGTCTTTTGTTTGAGCGCCATGCAACCCTTGATTACTCACTCCCCCCACACTATTGTTCAGCTTACATGTTCGGATGTGTCGTGCAGAATCCACACAGCTACAGTTTATTTTGTGTTATTTATTTCTGTGTTTGTTATATCTACGGAGACTCGAGAGACTCTACTATGTCATCCAAACAAAGTAGAACTAATTNGCTCTTACTATTTTAATATATATCTTTCAATTTTACATTTTTTACATTTATTGTATGTATGTTACTAATAATTTTTGTAACTTACAATCAATGAGACAGGTAAGCTTGATAATCTTTTGCAAGATTAGCAATATTCGGTTCAAAATTTGTAAGTTTTAGTTTTTTCATCGACCCCCAATAATGTTATAACAACCCCTGGGGTCAATATGGACCACTTTGGCGACCCCTGCTCTAGATGCTAAAGCAAAAATTTTGAATCTCATCAAGTTTCTTGTTAAATTGAGAATCTCATGTCTTATTAACTATTATAGTTTATCTAATGAGCTAATTAGATTATTTTATATGCATTTCCTATATGGGGAAGATTGTTGGTAGACAAAGTTGAAAAAACACAATTATTTTTTGTTTAAATCATTTTGTGCCAGAGCCTATGATAAGAATTGAATTGGATTGGCCACCTCTGGCTGTTAATATATCACTGTGTTTGTTACTTTTCTGGAATAAAATTATTGCTCTACCAAGCAATGATTACAGACAATTGATATATAACAAACTCTCATTACCCAATAGTATGACATCTCATGAGTTGTGGCCCACCACTATTAAAAATTTGTTAAACAATCTTGGATATCCTTTGCTAACTGTTTTATTTTCATTAGAAAAAATATGATTTTAAAATATTGGATAATATCCCTATTATATGTCCATCTGTTTATTTATTGTCTAATATAAATTATAAAATTAAATCATTATTCATTCAGCTTTGTCTAAATACATATATGATTATTTTAAAGGGAAAAGAATTGTTATACTGAATAACACTGAATATTCTTTTTGTAAAATGCTTATAGCAGATATGGTAAATCATCTGTTTTTGTTGTGCAAAATGCTTTCTGAAATAAATCAATTGATGGACCTGATTTTAACTATATTAATTTACTAGATGACAACACTATAAATTCTATAACTTTTTTGTTCAAACACTAAAACTTTTGTAACTTTTCATTAACTCCTTTGTAAAAGCTATTGCTATATCAATTAAAATAATAATTATTATATTTTTCTGTGCCTTCCCATATTTTTAAATATATAACCAAGACTAGTTTTCAGCCAGAATGCACTGATATGTTGTTATCAGATAGTATAAGAAGTATTGATAGCTTGATACTGTACATAGTACCAACAGTTACTCAGTAAAAAAATTCTATATATTTAATCACTATATATGCATACCATCAGTAATTTTTTTAATAAAAAGAGCATTATATATAACCCATGACAGTTTATAATGCAAAAAAATTGCTAGAACAAAAGTAAAACCTTTGCAAAAATCTTCATCATATACCCTGTATGTCTGTGGAGCCAACTGCTTCATACATGCAAATTTTGTAATTGCAATTTAAAATCAGCATATAATTTTCCCATTGTATAATCCACATCCCTTTTCAACTCATTTTTTAAATACTATGGGTATTACTCACAAAAATACAGTCATTTGTTTGTTTTTATCAAATGCTTTGTTTATAAGAATCTTATGTATATAGTTTATCAATGTTCATATTGATTTAAACTTGTAATTTATTAAATAAATATTTAAGCACTTTAATAGAAAAGAAATTATCTCAGCAATTCTTTTAACAAATAAATGTATATTGTTTACCCTGAATTTGCTATCAATAACTTTGTGCAGGTTTAATTTCCAATATAAGTCAATCAGATATCAATGCAATAGACTATTAGCCTATCATCTTTGAGAATCTAAGTTTGAATCTTACCTAAATTCTCATAATTTATCATAGACAATAGAGAGTAGATAATTATACTGTACATTATGAAGTTTGGTGAAACATACTAAAATGTATTTTGTTTAATTTTTCTATTAGATAATTACTTCAGTGTCTCCAACAAATGAGAAACCAATTGCTGAGGTGATTTCAGGAACAGTTCAAGATTACAATGACACCGTCACAGTCTGCAATGAAGCCTGGAAGACCTGGGTCGATGTACCACCTCCTCTACGTGGTGAAATAATACGACAGATTGGACATGCGTTAAGAGAAAAGAAGACTCAATTAGGGAAATTGGTTTCTTTGGAGATGGGTAAGATATTACCTGAAGGAGAAGGAGAGGTACGTATATTTTAATTGATCCTGTAGAATAATCAAAATATTAATTATATAGTAAACTAAGCCCAAAATTATAAATTACTGATAATCAAATGATAATGCCAAATTCTTTGGGCCCATACCATAACTTGGTTAATTACATATATAGATTAAAATATTTATATTTATTAAAAATCTTCCAATTATCCAAAATTATAAAATAAATTTTTTTAAAGGTTCAAGAATACATAGACATTTGCGATTATGCAGTTGGATTATCCAGAATGATTGAGGGGAAGGTTCTTCCATCTGAACGACCTGGTCATGCTCTCATAGAAATGTGGAATCCTCTTGGTACGATTGGCATCATCACTGCTTTCAATTTTCCTGTGGCAGTGTATGGTTGGAACAATGCTATAGCAATGGCTTGTGGTGATACCATGATATGGAAAAGTGCAGGAACAACTCCTTTGACTAGTATAGCTATAATTAAAATTTTATCATCTGTTTTAGAGGTAAGATTTTACATTACCAAGTTTTAGTAATTAAACATAGACATTAATAATCAATCATAAAGTACAAAATTATATCAAAATTAACTCTTCAAATATAAGTATAAATCATGAATACTATTAAGTTTGTCATCATTTAATAAAAATAATAAATAATGTTGGATATCTGTTATTTGACCATAAAATTACACAAATACACTTTTTGTACATTTCAGTATTAACTTTACACACTGAGCAAATATTAGAAGGTTAGAATAATTTAAAGAGCTTTGAATTATTCCACTTTAGAATGCAACATAACTACTTCATCTTTGGATGACTTCTAACCTGAGGCAGACCTGTAAATCGGGCCAAAAATGTTTGTTTGATGTGTAAAGTTAATGCTGAAACATGAAAAGTGTGTTTGTTTAATTTAACCAAAAATTTCAGCAGTTAGAAGACAGTTGAATTCCATTAAATTACTTCATAAGTAAAAATATTATTAAAGTAGATAAAATAACATGAAGTTAGTTCAAATAATGTAGGAAAATTACAACATTATAGCTTGATTAAATTGATAACAATTTAGGTTAAATGTTAATTGACAAATTGTCAGAACAATCTAAATTGAATTCAATGCATAAAATCTTTGTTTTAAGTTTGCACAAAAACGTTATCATTATATATTCATTCTAGAAAATTCTCAGATATTCATCATCTCAGCTATTATTATTTTAGGCATTTTTCTAAAATTGGATTACCTTAATCCCAGAATAGGGAATAAAACATGTTATAAGCTAGATTATGTAATTAAATTACATGTCTTTACCATGCATAGATGGAGCGCCATCAGTGCAAATGCTAATACAAGTTTGCCACCTCATTCCTCTCAATATGACATTTTGGTTTACCAGGTTAAAGACATCTTTTCCTCTTGTTCTTTCCTTCAATTCACAGCAAAAGAAAAACTGACTTATGATTTTACCACCTCTGATTATTCTCAGAAATGTAATTAGTAGAGCTTTGTTGCTGATGTCTGTACTTTCATCGATTTGTAAGGTTTTTGAGTTCATTTTTTGCTTCAGTGAAATGTTTGCGAAGCTGATCATCAATATTTCGTGAAATGTTTTTAATTTTATGAGAAATCTTGTGGGTTGACAAAGGAATGGTCTTAGTTTGTTTGATGGCTTCTTCATTAATCATTGTGCCAATGGCAATTTCCAAGGCTGGTAAAATAATGTTTTCAGCATCAGAATGTTTTTTTAATTAAGTTAATGCATTTCATAGTATATACAGTATTAAAATTTATTACTAATTAATTATTTAATAATTATGTATTATTTAATAATTAAATAATGCATAACTAAAAATGCTGAAATCATTGTTAATTAACGTAAGTCTAGATGATTTTTCATCATCTAGACTTACAATATAATATAGAATTTGAAAATTTTATTTTCACTCTTAGACAGTCTATGGTGTCCTCGCACATTTTTACCTATATTTTTAAATCTTTCATGGTACATCTGGAATTTCTTGTGGCATAGTAGTGTGCCGCCCATACAGTTTGGCAGACACTGGACTAGACGATTAATTGTGTCATAATATGCACATCGAGAACTTTTTACTTGTTTATCAAAAGCATTTGCTTGGAAGTATAAGGTAATCATTATTCATACCAGTGGAAATGCTTTTGCTTCTACCTTTTATTTGAAGCATTAGTTTTTACTTCTACCTTATGCTTATTAGCATTTCCTTGGTTTTTATTCATATGGACCAATAACTCACACTTGAGACTTTTATTTATTTTTGTATTGTTAGAAATGTCCTTACATTCTTGGATAATTGTATGCAGATTTTCCTTTATAAACAGATAAAAAATAAAATGAGTCCTCTTTCATCCCCTATCCACTGCACACACACGAACATTATACAGTACTTCATTTATGTTATTCCTGTTGTAAATTTGTGGAATGTGTGAAATTTAAAATAACTTTGATCTCTGACTGGGACATTCTACAGCCTCACAGATTACAATTTTTTTCCTTTCTTTCTATGGAGACTAATAAAGATTTTTATTCATTTTCATTATGAATTCAACCAGGCAGGCAAGAAGTGGCATCTAACATAGCTGGATCAAAATTTGAGAGTGATCAGACTAAAATATTATCCCTCAGAACAGTAGAATGACATTTTTATTGCTTTAACATTTTTGTCAATGAGTTATGAGACAGTTGTTTCAATTTTTTAAAATTTGTTATAAGCATACACTTGCTAAATGTAAGTTATATTTATGTAGGATATAGTATGAAATTAAAAATATGATGAATGCAATTGCAATAATAATAATAATAATAATAATTAATGATGTAACGAATATTCGGTTACTATTCGGTATTCGGCCTATTTTTCACTATTCAGCCGAATACCGAATATTTAATCACTATTCGGCCGAATACCAAATACCTAAAAGCAGGAGTAATAAATAACAAAAACATAGTAAATTAATCATTTTGTTATTTAGATTTAATGTTATTGAGTTATTGTTGTTTGTTTATATTTATTTATAACTTGTAACATGCACAAAATAAAAAAGAAAATAATATTAGTTACTTGTATTCACAATTTATAGTTACAAAGATCAGCATACGTACACGTCTATCGTTGGAGAATCCTCGCACATCTGAGGGTCTGACCCTGCCTATCCTTCTTTTTAAGCACTTGTCTTTGCTCTTCCCTTTCTCTTTCCTCTATCACTCTAATCCATGTATGCCTGTGCATACATCATAATACACGCTCATGATACTTTTGATTCATCACTTTTCCGTCGTAGAGTTCCCATTTTACAATTACATGACAGCCTGGTGATAACGGAGAAAAGAGACAGATAGGACGTCGATATAAGTCAGAGTTATGATTTCACAGATTTGAGACAGCTTGATAGCCCGAACGGCCCCAGGCTTTTGCTCGTGCACGCTAAGTGACTTTCATTACAAGCATTTAGCTTTCCGAAGTCTCTGACAACAATTGTTTGGCATTGACGGCCGCGAATTTCATGCCAATAAGCTGCCTCGACTTGTTCGATTATGTTATCGACTCAATTTCATATTTGTTTTCACATATTCACTTCGCGGTCCTTCTCTGTTCTTTTTTCCGTTATTTACACGTGTAGGTCATTTCATTGTTATCCACATTTGATATCATCATTTATCACATACTTCCATGACACTCTTGTCTGTCCGCTACAACTGCCAAGAATTAACGCAATTGGCGAAGCGTAGTGACAGCAGGCCAATAGAGAGCAGATGCCATAATGCAGTTTGCGCACCAATTTTCATATGTGCGTTAATCAAGCCGAATATTCGGCTATTCGGCCACGCTCCTGGCCAAATATTCGGTATTCGGCCTGAGGCCGAATATACTATTCGTTACAACACTAATAATAATCCATTCCAACTAATTGGTTTTGACTAATCTTGTATTTAAAAGTTCAACAATTAATTTGTTTTATAACTAATTATTGAATTTTAGTTGATGTGGGAATAACATTATTTCAATTTCTCATATAATTGATTTCTTTTTATTTATAATTTATGAAGTTTCTATTAAATCTAAAATAAAAAATAAAGCAGAAATTTTGTTTGCTGTAAATTGTATAAATAAATTATTGATAATATTTTGAACATTAATTTTTATTTTATATTTTAATACAAATTTATCAAGAAACTAAAATGGTGAAAAAATTTTATTTGATAAGTAGTATCAATAACTTATGAAAATTTATCAAAGAAATTTTGACAAAAATGATTTTTTTTTAGAAAAATAATTTGCCTGGAGCCATTTGTTCTTTAATTTGTGGGGGACCTGATGTTGGTGAAAGTATGACAAATGATACACGATTGCCATTGATATCATTTACTGGAAGCACTCAAGTTGGATTGAAAGTGGCACTGAATGTTCAGCAAAGATTTGGGAAAACAATTTTAGAATTAGGAGGAAACAATGCAATTATTATTGCAGATGATGCTGACATAAAGATGGTGGTGAGCTCTGCTCTCTTTGCTTGCGTTGGTACTGCTGGTCAAAGGTGTACAACAACCCGAAGAATCATTGCTCATGAAAAGGCAAGTTATATGTAATTAAGTTCATAAATTTTCTTTGTCAGAAATAAGATATATTTTAATATAATGTGAAATATCATTAATAAAAAATTTCAACATTTGTTTTATCAGGTATATGATGAAGTCCTAGATAGATTAAAGAAAGCATATTCCCAAATTAGAGTGGGAGATCCACTTGAATCTGGAACGATGTATGGACCTCTTCATACGAAACAGGGAGTTAATGAATATCTTGCAGCCATTGAAGAGGCAAAGAAACAAGGTGGAGTCATTGAATATGGTGGAAAGGTATAAGGTTTTATACAATTAGGCATTTTATTATTGTTTTGCTGAATATCTCTTATTACTTTTTAATTAATTTAGAAAATTGATAGAGAAGGAAATTTTGTAGAACCCACAATTGTATCTGGTTTATCACATGATGCAAACATTGTTCACAAAGAGACATTTGCTCCAATTGTTTATATTTTGAAAGCTAAAAGCGTTGATGAAGCTATAGCTTGGAATAATGAAGTCAAACAAGGTCTTACTAGCAGTATCTTTACAGAAAATCTTGGAAATGTGTTTAAGGTTAGTAAATTATTTGTGTGTATATTTATTGATATAACTTTTTGATATTAAATTTTGAATATAATATAAAACAAGACTGGTGAAGCCTATCTGAAAGCATGCGCTACAAAAGTGAATCAAATATTTTAAAAAATAAATTTATTATTGTTATTATATTAAATTTATTATAAAATTTAATTTTATACAATACCGAGTAGTTTTTACTATAGCTTATAGTGACTGTAAACGAAAATGTTCAGTTCCCTTTTGCACATGTGTGTAGATATGCATAATAAATGATCAAATGACTATAGTGGAGCTATAGTCATTTGATCATTTATTGGAGAGTTTCCTTATTATTTTTAGCACGTTGGAGCGTGCTAAAAATAATAAGGAAATAGATCAAGTAGTTGTTGTGCATGGGCATGTGCAATAAATGGCTTGAACAGAACATAATACTTAGGTAACTCCTATGCCTAACATTGGTAATTTCTTGCTGATCAAGTTTAGGCTTAAGTTATAAGTCTAATTTCCAACGTTTGGATTGAATGGAACACAACATTTAGGTAACGAAAGTGAAGTCATTGTGCATACACATGGAATCTGACAGATAGACAAAAGTCCTAACATAAGCACTTCTCCACTACTGTGAAGTGTGCTAAAAATGAAGAGTTTAAAAAATGAATTCATAATAACTTTAATTTATCTGGCTAATAGAGCTAACCTTTCAAATTAAAAAGTGTTTGCTGATTTACAAGTGCTTTCAATCCTAGTACGATCACTTTTAGGTCTAGTCAATAACTGAATGTAACATAATGTGTTCTAAATATATTTAAATGTAAGAATTTAATATTTAAACATAGAATCCTTAGTCTGCAACTAGAAAATACTGGTGCATTAATGAATGAACCATTTTTTTCTCAGATTATATTAAAAAAACTACTTTTTTGGAGAACTAACTTTCTCACAAACAATTTTAGGTAGTGTTTAAAATAAAAATGTGCATATTATTTGAAGGATAATAAATAATTGTTATTACATACATAATAATGTAATGGGTATAAATTGGATATAAGAAATGGGATTTCTTAAATTATTTTTCTTGGTCCTATATTATCTCATTGTTAGGATGGGCTGAAAAGGCAACTAGAACTGTATTAACTCTCATTTCCTAGACATCAAATTTGTGTTCTTTGATTCTACAGTTGTCTCACACTACATTATAAATATCTTACACTATGTATGCAACCTACATAGTGTGAGATATTTATAACAAAATTCCTGATCTATGTTAGGTAATTTGTATATTTTGCATTTTATATTTTTCAATGATTGTTATTTTTAAGAAATGCAAAGGGTATATTGTGGAGTTTCTGCAGAATATGGGAATTATTACATATAGAGTAAGGCTTTATTTTTAAATAAATTAAACAGTATTAGACTAATTATATCTGGATTTCAGCATTTTAATACAATAATAAATGCAGATAATTTCAGTCTCAAGCTTATTAAAGAATTATTTTTAAGACTGATTTTAAGTTCTGACCATTTAATCCAAATTATTTAAAAGCAAGATTTTCCATATTCAATGATTGTATGCATTATTATTAATTAAATATCTGAAGATAAAGTCCTTCTAAAAAAGGAACCACCATTTATTATCTTTGTATTATAGACTATACGTTCTTGGCGACTGGCCACCAAAAAGTCCTTTTAAAAACACAAAAATACATCCAATAAAAAATAGAAAAATTTTTTAAAAAGGAATTAGTGGCATACAGACGTCTTCTATCTACCATCATACCTTCTTGGGTTGTTTCGACCTTTTATCTATGTAGAAATGCACGCTGGTAAATGTAGATTAAAAAAGTTAAAAAATTAATTTTAACTTCAAAGAATATGAATGAATTTGAATTGATTTTAAAAAATAATTAATTTGTGCTGCAAAGACCATTTTTATGATCTTCATGTTAATAAAACTTACAAAAAAAAATTAGTATAAACTTATTCATTTCTTTATTTTATACACAGTTTTTTCTCTTATCCATAGCATATAAACAGGTTTTTGAGGTTTCAAATGGAACAGCTAACTGAACAATTTAAATGGTTAATAAACAATAAATTTATTATATAAATGTCTATTCAAGAAAGAAATATTTAGACTAGAAAAATATGTTTGCTCCTAGGCAGGATTTGAACTCATTTGGCATGTTATTAAAGAATCAATCGGGAGGTCAAGGATAACATTTAGTGTGAACTCTCTTATTGAGATCATTCATTAAATAAGTTCTTACCACATAATATCCTCAGTGTGTTCACTTTTGCTCCTTGCATAATTCAAGACTAAGCACTTGAGTCTTGTTTTTCTTTGTTCAGTGGACATGTGTTTTTTTACTATCAGATTTATATTGTGTGTTTATTTAAAAACTTTATTTTCAAAAATAGTGTGTAAATCAGTTTTAAAACTAAAATATAATATTTAATAAGCTAATTACTTGATAAACTACTTGCATATTATTTTACTTTGTGGAAAATAATATGCAAATAGTTAAATGAAGGTTAAGATTATCTTTGAAAATCTTTATAGGAGTAAAGGAAGAATTATGTCCTGTTTTGATCTAGACTGCTTAGATAATTTATTTATATCAAGAACTGGATTAATTTTTAATTACTTGAGTCTAGCAGTTCTGAGGCACAGATATTTTTGCAGTTTTAGTTTGTTTAAATTATTCTTTGCTACTGTGATTATTGAAATATTATAAAGAAGCACAATATGAATCAATTCAACAATAAAAATTTATTCAGTGAATTTACAGAATTTATAGAATATAAAACTATAATTTCTGGCCAACTAATGTAGTAGTGTTATAATAGTCAATATAAATGTGAAAAACATTATTTAAATGATGTTCAGGAGAATAAATTCTGAAATATTTGTCAATTTTAGTGGATTGGTCCCAAAGGTTCTGACTGTGGAATTGTCAATGTCAACATACCCACCAGTGGAGCAGAAATAGGTGGTGCCTTTGGAGGAGAAAAGGTAATTAAAATTTAGATCCTGTTTTTTTTTTTATTATAGCTTCATTCTTTACAAGAGAAATTACAAGCTTATTAGTTGAGAAGAAACATTGTTTTTCAGACTTCCTTAGCATTATTTTAAGGTGTAAATTATTCATAAATTTGTTGCAAAGTTTGAAAGTTATTGTTATTAATTCAGCCACATTTTCAGATTGTAAGGTGTAGTCTATTAGTTAATGATTCCAGCAAACTATTTAATTTCACAAATGCTTTCATCCTTATTGAAAGGCAATCTTCAGGCGAGAAAGATTCAAATCATTTATATTGTTACAGAATTTGAATCTCTTCATATGTTATAATGTTCTAATTTTAGAACTGTTTAAAAAATAGTTTAACAGCTTCAGTAATCTGACATTGATCAATTAGGTGTTACAGAATTTTGTCAAGCTTCCCATTAAAAATGGCAAAAATCAAGCCTGAGCTTTGGCACAATATTCAAGTTATTTAGGCTTGTCATCTTAGGATGCTCAAAAAAGGCACAGTAACTTATAACACAATATTGTATAGAAAAATGTTTCTCAAAATTTTGCACAAAAATGCTGTACAGAGTTTCTAGTTAAGCCAATAAATGAATTAAAATTAAATTATGGTTTGATATTTTCTTTTCAAGTAATATGAAAATTATTAAATGATGATTTTAATATTATTTGAAGAGAAAGGTTAACCTAGATATCTCATTGAAATCTAACCTAAGCTAAATGATCGCAGAATTGGATGGTTATTAGACTGTTGTGTGTTAGTGATTTAAATGCTATTATAACAATGAAAATATGAACTTTCAAAAGAACACATTCATGCACTGTTGCTCTGTCACTTAAAAAGTGATCACAATGCAACAAAAACTTGTGATCTCATCTCAAAGCATTTGTTAGTGTTCACAGGTAAACAAAGGTCAACCAATTGATACAAAATGTCAAATAGCCATTTTATGCTCATGGGATCAAAAGTTTGCACCAAAGATAATGAGATGTAATTGATATTGATGGTGATAACCTATCAAACTGAACTATAATTGTTGAATGAATTTTTTATACTTTTTTCTGTCTAAAGTTCACTTTTAAAACTTGATATAAAGAGAAGAGTAAATGATTTTGACAAATTACGTATTAGAAGAGCTTCACATTAGTGGTGTGCCAAAAATGGACTATGGGGACTAGGGTGGTCCTCTAAATTTCTTGAAGTACTATCTAAGTATTATTTTTAATCTATTTGTGTTTGAAACCTTTCACTTGAAAAATATGTATTTTTTAGTGTATTTTTTCCAACTTCCTCCCCTACTTTATGTTTCATTCAACTCTTCCACGAACCTACCTGAACATCCCTCAAGAGCTCCTTTAGTTGACTCATTGACAGAACTAGCTTTCAGACGTATTCCTGTCATACTGTAGTGTTTGGTGTGCATCCAGGCAGTTCTGTAATAAGAGATTTTGTTTCTTGTGCTTATTGAAAACAAAATTGCATTAGTGATTTTTGTATTTCTATTATCATAAAACACTTAAAAGTTTTCATCTAAAGTGTGAATCTACTTAAAAAAACTGTACAGTAATACCCCAACTTACGCGAACCCGGAGTTACGCGATTCTCAAATCTCGTAGATTCGTCTTTTGTTTGAGCGCCATGCAACCCTTGATTACTCACTCCCCCCACACTATTGTTCAGCTTACATGTTCGGATGTGTCGTGCAGAATCCACACAGCTACAGTTTATTTTGTGTTATTTATTTCTGTGTTTGTTATATCTACGGAGACTCGAGAGACTCTACTATGTCATCCAAACAAAGTAGAACTAATTCTTCTGCATCAAACAAGAAAAGAAAAACTTTATCTTTGGAATGTAAAGTTAACATTGGGTATGTTCGTAAAGTCGAACGAGTTAAGCGAGAATGACGTCATCGTTATTCCTATTTCGTTAGACTTTTCGAACGATTCGTTACTAACGCGTTTAACTCGTTTGACTTTACGAACGTACCCATTATTAAAGACTTCGATACAAAAATGAAAATTTGTGAATTGGCAAAGAAGTTTGATCTACCGGAATTGTCGGTCAGAACAATTATAAAAGGCAAAGAAAAAATTCTCGAAGCTGTGAAAAATGCTCAATCTTTAAATTCAAGCATCATTCGTAAACGTCACAGTATTATCGCTGAGATGGAAACAATGTTAAAATTATGGCGTAATAATCAAGTAAATGTGAAAAATTGTAAAATAATATAGGCCTAATTTGTTATACATATGTATTATCTAAGATTTTATTAAACATTTTTTTCTAAATTATTGTTTTCTTTAGTCTCCGGCCCCAATTAAAAATTATTTGTATGTATTTATATGCAAAATTATACCCCGACTTACGCGAATTCGACTTACGTGGTTACCGCTCGATCCCACCTATTGCGTAAGTTTGGGGTATTACTGTATATATGATTAGAAAGCTTTGAATTCAACATGGAAGGAGACTCATTAGGAGAAGTGGGTCCCTCACAGCGAAACATAACGCAGTTTGAATCTGAGAATGATGCATCTGATTTAGGTGAATTGTCACAGCAGAGTGAAGACAATCACAATTTCCTTGCTGTATTCTATTTTATTTAATCATCATTAAGTCCAAGCTGTTCATGATATGACATGACCCCCTCTATCTCCCCACCCCTTAACCATCAAAATTTAATAGCATCAATCCCCTAATACATGAATCTCCCTGCAAAATTTCAGAAAGTTTTGACAAAAGACGCAAGTTATTAAGCTTCAAAGATGGTAAACAAAATCATGTCCCCCACACATACAATAACATTCATACATACAGAAAATCCTGAAGTTTTCGCATTTCTCAACATTTCAAGGTCCTCTGAATCCAAAAATGTAAAAATCTGGGGGGTCATTTTTTTACTGATTGTAATTTATTAATATTTTTCTTTCCTGAAATGTAAGAGCTGGGAAAGTAAAATAAATGTGCCAATAATGTGCAAACAAAATGAATTTTTTACCATGTGTTTAAATAATAATTGTTATAATATATTAAAAATAGGTTTTCTCACATATGGTCCCTTTGAAAATTGTCACCGCACATGGTGCTTCACATTTATTATTAATAATTTTCGAATAACAATCTATATAATCAAAATATTATAGATAGTGAGTTGTTACATGCCTGAATGATTGATTTCTAAATTTCTTTTTATAGCAGATTGTAACTTAATGAACAATCATAATGTGTCATAATTTTGAATACTTAGTTTATTGATATAAATGTACAGTAATTCCTCTATTTACGTGAGTAATTTATTCCACGAAAACAGCATGAATGGAACTGTAGAAAGCCATTCCATATTCTCAAATACAGTATTTTTCTCTTACTGGAATAGAAAAATTTTAACTGAACTATTTTTAAACATATCTGTATAAGAGTTTATTGATGATAACTAATATTTATTTCCATATTTTTTTATATGTCAAAAAGTAAAATTGATTATTTAAAATAAAAATTTTTCAACCAAATTAAAGTAAACTTTCATAAATTGAGGGATTATTGTAATGAAAAATATGAATTTTTGGAATACAGTAGTATTACTAACTTTTTAAATGCTCCTCTAATCATATTCATATTAGTTTAACTTTCTTGTTATGTATTGTATCTGTATTTATTTAGCATACTGGTGGTGGAAGAGAAAGTGGCAGTGATTCTTGGAAGCAGTACATGAGACGATCCACTTGCACTATCAATTACAGTAAAGAACTTCCCTTAGCTCAGGGAATCAAATTTGAATGAAGATGGGATGAATGAATTGTCAAGTCCTGCCTTTCAATCCCTTTAAAGGTATAACAACAGTGCCTTGAAATCTGTGTTAAAATATTTTTTTATCTGTGTTAAATATATTTAAAAAAAATTTTTTTTTTTTTAAAATACAAAAACCAAAACTATTTTTTCACTTGTTAAAACTTTTTATGGTTTATAAGCAGTTTTTGCCATTTAAAAATCATGCCAAAAGTTCCAAATTTTGGTGAACTGCCAAAATTTTTGTAATGTTTTTGAAATTAAATATATTCAATGATTACAAAAGATTTTAAATATATAATTACACATTTCTATTATTGTGAACATGTGATTGTGATTTATTACAAATCAAATGATATTTTATCAAATATTTTCTTACATATAAAATATAAAATCGAGATCGATACTATATTCTATCAGTATAATAGATTTTGAAAACAGCAACTCAAAATATACATATTTCCAGTCATCTGAGGAATGTCTGCTAAGTAGCATGTCAGCAGTTAATTAAGTCAGTCTATTTTCAAAAGTTGCATTTCATCCAAAGTTATGTCCCTACTTGAAAGTGTGGTGGTTTTTTTTTTTTTTTTCATTTATCACAATATACTATAGGTGTTTCTCTCTTATAGTTCTAAATTAGTTTAATATCAAATGTAACTTTGCCTCAGTATTCACGGTTTACCAACTATGGAGAATAGGCTAAACTTACCTGTGTTTGCCATGTAATCCTGGATCTTTTTTTGAGGATAAACTACATTTAAAGCTGACAAAGGATGACAACTAGCAAAATCGAAATCAAATAGCAAAGCAAAATAAAAATCCATGACGACACTATAATTAAAAAAAATTGAATAACAGAAAATATGGATGGCCAGATGGCCAATTGGATAAGGCAGGGGTCACCAAACTTTTTTGACAGCTGACAGATCACTGGGAGAATGATGAGCGCAGTCTGCATAACCATTTTGTTCAATATAGTATACTGAATACACAAAAAATAAAGAAAACCAACATATTTATTTACCAATACACAAACACGATCACTGCAGCAAGCTTGTAATCGCTTTTCTTAGAAACTTCATTGTAGTACCTACAGTGTTGCACAAAAAGCGCTCTGATATCCAAAGTCGCTGAATTTTTTATTTCACTGATTTTCCTAAAAATTATGTTACTGTCAGATTGGACCAACTTTGGCATTTTTACTTACTATGTAGAAAAAATTAAAATAAGTGTAAGTTTATCTACAATCTATGGTATTTCTATATAAATAATTATATTTTAGCTCATTTGTGGCACAGTGTGGCAGCGGGCAGTAGTTTGGTGACCCCTGATATATACAGGAAAAAAAAACCTCAACATTTTAAGGTCTCCTAAGCCAAAAATGTAAAAATCTTGTGAAGTCATTTTTTGACCTATCTCCATACTTTTCCTCTGTTATATATGACAGAGCCTAGAAAGTAAAAATTATAATTTTACCAGATTTATCTTTTTGATTATTCCTAATTGAAATGGCTGGATTGCCGAGGCGATAAAGATGCCTGTCTAGGACTACAGTGCTCCCTGTAACCATGTGACTAAAACCACTAAACTGTGGTAGTCTGTCTCGGGTAGGGTGTCACCAGTTAGCCAAGTGGAGTTTCTGAGTTTTCTTTGTGCATCTAACATCTAAATAAGGGCCACTTTTTCTAAGAAAAGACCTTCCGGGAGTCACTCCCCTTGCATATAACCAGTGCTGTAGAGAGAGAACCTGGGAAAAACTCAGGCTCACAAAATCAGTAAACTAACAGAATAAGTCTTTTAAAGCAGAATGTTTGTTTAGTAATAAAAAGCAACGTACTGTATGTCATTTGTAAAAAAAAATGGCTGCAGGTTGTTCTACCCTTGGACCTCATACAAGTTTTTGACAGCCCTGCATATTGTCCACGTTCTGAATTGCCTTATTCCATTAATCTTACAGTCCTGTCTCTTATGTTAAGTCTCCATTCTTCGCCAACTAGCCGCTCCTAAGGAGGAGTCAAAAATTTTTTTTAAAAATCCGAATTTATTGGAAATATAAACATTTGAAGAATTTAATGAAATCGAGTCTCTTACATTTCAATTCAAAATATATATATTTGAAAAATATATATTATTTTACATTTAAATTAGAATTCAAGAATCTGTTTGTCCTCTTGCAGACTTTCTGCTATTTTTCTTTTTGCTTTTAGCTGTTTCGGATTTCAAAGGGGGTAGTTTTTGGCTGGCGCTAAGATTTCTTCCGTTAGCGGATAGAATGAGTTCGGGTTGGGATTTGGACGAGCGACTACTATTGGTATTTGCGTTCCTCGACGATTTGTCAATGGGAACGGGTATTCCACTCCACGAATTTCTTCTCTGTTTATTTCGACTTTTCCTTTCTTCCGGGGTTAGATTCAATTCGCTTAAGCTGCAAAGTGTACGAATACATTTGTAATTTATTTATATAGAATTTCTTTTAATCCAGTTCTATAGGAAAAAATTAGAATATTTCAGTAGATAAAAAAAAAACAACAACAAAATTTAGATTGAATCCATGGTTTAGATTTGCCTCTATCCAGAAAAAGCTATGGCTTTTGACACGACTGTGCTAAAACTTATGATCTATACTTGTGAGTAGAAGCAAATTCTTATCAAAAATTGTGAGATGTGTTGATTAGTAATAGTTTGCACAGCGAAAGAGTAGACATGGGTTAGTCTGAGCAGGAAGGGTCTATGTTATTTGAGTGGATTGGAAGAAGGTATGTGATTAACGTTTGAGTATCGTTAGAATTAAGAGTAATAATAAAATCAGATCATGTATCAATTCTACGTCACTTTCCATTCCTTTTATCTTACAGATACTTCCAGCTTAGGCTGACTCATGTTTATTCTTTCGCTGCTCGGACTATGGTATAAGGAATGGCCTAAAGCGAAGTTTAAATATATATATATATCCGAAATTGGCTCTATATTTATTTTTTGTTGGATGTAACTTTCCGGTTATAGGGAGTCCGATCGAATGAACCGAGTGTCAAACGTACGATAATCTGAAATCCGTTGTTAACAATACACGTTCCCATACCATTAATAATAATAAAGAACAACTATGTGCTATTTACTTACGTCATACTTTACGCTTGCAGTTTTCGGCGTAGCATGACTACATGCAACAGGATTTAAACATTAGCTTTTATAATTATTTTTCCTATAGAACGGCCTTATGAAACATCCTGTATAATTAATTTTTTACATAATATATATGCTATTTATATATAAATACACTAGAGCATCGATTATCCGAATGCCGATTAACCGAAAGCGTTCCACTCGGCAAATTCAAATTTCCGCTAGTGCTGTGGTGCTGCAATATTTGGCTATGTCTTGGGCTACTCTAATATTTTTGTTGGTGCGCGTTTTAGCTGGCAGCACTGGCGCGACCATATTGTATTGTTAAAAATTATTTCTTATTTTGCACAAACAAAATAAACATATTGAAATATATATTAAAAAAAATTATATTTCGGAAGTTAATCTAGTATCAAAAACATTACGATTCATATACGTCGAGAGAGTACTTAAAGACGCGCCAGTACTTGAACCATGCTTTTTTTCCCATCGTGAGCTATATTTTAGGACCTTGCATCGTGAGTGGTGTGTTTTGCTTCAGCTCGTCGAAGAATATAGCCCAAGAGTCTGACATCTGCAGATAAACCCAACAAAAAGAAAGTTTGCTTGTTTTGTGTAGTGTTTTTCTGAGGACTGTGTTTCGGGACGTGTGTGGTGCTGAATCGGAACGTTTTTGATACTAGATTAATTTCCGAAATAATTTTTTTTTGTTTTTATATTTTTCAATAATTTCAACAGGGGATAGGTTAATATATTTTTTCATACATAATCAGTTATCCGAACAACCCCAGTCCCGAATTGCTTCGGATAATCGATGCTCTACTGTAATATGATCATGAGCGTCAAATCTAAAGGACCCTTTAGGCCCTTTAGAGTTAGCGTCCATGTATAAGATCATTTAAAAAGTTCGCAAGAATATTTTATTGTTTTTGGTTTCCATTCGGTGATATGTGGTTTATACACTAGGCTTTAACCTTTTAGTATTATATATTTACCTTTTACCGATGATTTTTGTCGACTGGGTAATGGGTCTACTATTCGAAGTTATGGGCGATTCCGTTTCTGGCATATCTTTGCTTACTTTCTCCAACTAAATGTAGAAAACAATGCATATAATTAGTTGTATATACAGTATATATAAATGCATATTTCTAATTTGTAATAATTTCTTTTAAGAAAAAGATCAAAGACCGAAAAATCACCCAAATTTTGTATTTACTTACATTATAGTTTTTCACGTAGGTCTATATAATTTTATAGCGTGGCATTCTTTAAATTCTAATACAGAATATTCTTAAAATGTTTTTATATCGAACGAAATTTGTGTGTTAATTTGTATTATGTAGAATTATGTTAGTCGGCAGAGGTCTTGCAAAAGTTATCAATACAGTAGTTTGTAATAGTGTTCGGATACTATCGATAGCAATATCCATTGATATCTATCGATATTTTTATGCAAAACATCGATAGTATCGATACCATCGGTTATCCGATTTACAATCGATTACTAACCAATTAATGTAAAGTAAACATCTACTAAAGACATGGTAAACAATCGGATTGCTTTAACGTATAATTCAATTAATTTTTTTTTTCAGAAATATTACATAGTTTACATTTCTCTGCTTTAATGGCTTCTTTTTTCAAAGATAATGTCTTCAGCTGTCGAAAATGCTCTCTCGGAGTTGACAGAGGAACCACAACTACGGCCGTATTTGTGATAAATTGTTTTCGGATTATCGAAATAAGAGTATCTACCGTTGTTGACTAAAAATTGAAACAGGTTGGAATTTGGAGGCTCGATAGATAGTTCGATACACTGCCAAAAAGCAATAATTGCGACCGCTTGATTTGGTGAATGTCTAGTCTACTCTTTCTTAAAAAATCAAAAAGATCGGGCGCATTATTTAGACTTATTTCTTTATTTTCTTGTTCGTTTTCAAGTCCGAACGATTCAGCATCTATTGAAGTTAAATTTATTGTATTTGCAAGTTACTTTGTTATAGCTTTTGAAAAATTCATATCCGAAGTTCTTATTAAGTCGAAAAGCTGGGTTCTTTAATCTAGGATCTAAAATTGTTGAAAATGCCACATATAGTTCGTGTTTCGTAACCATTTAATCTCTTGATTACTCCTTTTAATGATTACAAAAACTTTTTACCGCATTCTATTGTAAACGGAATATTTTAGTGTCTTTAACTTGATGTAAATCCATGAAGAATTGGACATATTGTAACGTACTGTACGCTGTTAGTTGCTTGTTCAGAAAGTTCCAAAGAATTAAAACTTTCTTGTAAAACAAATCATTTACAAGAAAGTTTTAATGTTTAAACAAATTCTTTGGAACTTCGGCTGTCAGTGGCAAGGGAGATTTTGATAATGAAATAAAGGCGTTATAGCGCATATTTTAATTCCATTAATCTTCTTATCATATTTAAATAAATGTTCCAACGAGTTACTACTTCCCGCGTTACTTTTTCAGACATTTTCCTTGTTCGGTTTGGATATCTTGAACTTTACCAGAAGCTTTGATTACGGTTTTAAAGTGCGTAACAATTTTTTTTACATTTTTCTTTATTCTTATTAGTTCTTCATCTCCAACTAGAGCATCCCAAACAACGAGGTTTGATTTGTAGACAAAACAAAGTAGATTCCCAATTTTTAATATGCTGCATGCACATAACACGTCTTCATTGTCCATCGTTATACATACGATTTTATTTTCTACAGACCGTTGAAAAAATATATATTTTTTCAACATAGTTGCTATATTCTGAGATTATGAGTAGACATTATCAACGTTTCAAGTACACACGATGTTAAAAATAAAATAGTTTGTTACAGTTAAATATGACCGATTATTTATAGAAGTCCACATATTGGTTGTTATGGATACATGTTTCACTTTATCGATCATAACTTTCAATTTTTCTTTACACTATTTGTATAAGTTGGGTACAAGTATGTTGCCGATATATTTTGGTGGAAGTAATTTAAATATCTTGGTTCTAATTCGTATATAAATTGCACGACTCCCTTATCTTGAAGACTAGAATACGGTCGTGAATCGTATGCAATGAATATTGCCAATTTTTTTTTATTTATACTAGTTGCCCTTTTGTTTTTGATATCGAAAACATCTCGATGGCGTATAAAATTTAAAAATAATCAATAATAGAATTTACAAAATACTTATTAAAACAAAGGTACACGAAATGTTCATTTAAGAAAGATTAACGAGTTCGAATAATATTAATTAATCGTTAAAAATACGGTGAATGCGGTGTGCTGTCATTCAAAAACTGGCGCACTTTAGGTCATGCATTATTTGGCAGGAATAAATTGTTCTGACTTGAACTAATTTCATGTCACACGAAATCTTTTATTCTTTAGTTCTGTGTGAATAAAATCATACAATGCTTCAGAAAAAAGTTTCGAATTTGTTTTAAAAGATGGTATATTCATTAAAAATATTTTTAAATCTATAAAAAGGCATTTTTTTAGCTAAAATTTATTTGNTCGACTTACGTGGTTACCGCTCGATCCCACCTATTGCGTAAGTTTGGGGTATTACTGTATATATGATTAGAAAGCTTTGAATTCAACATGGAAGGAGACTCATTAGGAGAAGTGGGTCCCTCACAGCGAAACATAACGCAGTTTGAATCTGAGAATGATGCATCTGATTTAGGTGAATTGTCACAGCAGAGTGAAGACAATCACAATTTCCTTGCTGTATTCTATTTTATTTAATCATCATTAAGTCCAAGCTGTTCATGATATGACATGACCCCCTCTATCTCCCCACCCCTTAACCATCAAAATTTAATAGCATCAATCCCCTAATACATGAATCTCCCTGCAAAATTTCAGAAAGTTTTGACAAAAGACGCAAGTTATTAAGCTTCAAAGATGGTAAACAAAATCATGTCCCCCACACATACAATAACATTCATACATACAGAAAATCCTGAAGTTTTCTCATTTCTCAACATTTCAAGGTCCTCTGAATCCAAAAATGTAAAAATCTGGGGGGTCATTTTTTTACTGATTGTAATTTATTAATATTTTTCTTTCCTGAAATGTAAGAGCTGGGAAAGTAAAATAAATGTGCCAATAATGTGCAAACAAAATGAATTTTTTACCATGTGTTTAAATAATAATTGTTATAATATATTAAAAATAGGTTTTCTCACATATGGTCCCTTTGAAAATTGTCACCGCACATGGTGCTTCACATTTATTATTAATAATTTTCGAATAACAATCTATATAATCAAAATATTATAGATAGTGAGTTGTTACATGCCTGAATGATTGATTTCTAAATTTCTTTTTATAGCAGATTGTAACTTAATGAACAATCATAATGTGTCATAATTTTGAATACTTAGTTTATTGATATAAATGTACAGTAATTCCTCTATTTACGTGAGTAATTTATTCCACGAAAACAGCATGAATGGAACTGTAGAAAGCCATTCCATATTCTCAAATACAGTATTTTTCTCTTACTGGAATAGAAAAATTTTAACTGAACTATTTTTAAACATATCTGTATAAGAGTTTATTGATGATAACTAATATTTATTTCCATATTTTTTTATATGTCAAAAANCTTTATTTTTAAATAAATTAAACAGTATTAGACTAATTATATCTGGATTTCAGCATTTTAATACAATAATAAATGCAGATAATTTCAGTCTCAAGCTTATTAAAGAATTATTTTTAAGACTGATTTTAAGTTCTGACCATTTAATCCAAATTATTTAAAAGCAAGATTTTCCATATTCAATGATTGTATGCATTATTATTAATTAAATATCTGAAGATAAAGTCCTTCTAAAAAAGGAACCACCATTTATTATCTTTGTATTATAGACTATACGTTCTTGGCGACTGGCCACCAAAAAGTCCTTTTAAAAACACAAAAATACATCCAATAAAAAATAGAAAAATTTTTTAAAAAGGAATTAGTGGCATACAGACGTCTTCTATCTACCATCATACCTTCTTGGGTTGTTTCGACCTTTTATCTATGTAGAAATGCACGCTGGTAAATGTAGATTAAAAAAGTTAAAAAATTAATTTTAACTTCAAAGAATATGAATGAATTTGAATTGATTTTAAAAAATAATTAATTTGTGCTGCAAAGACCATTTTTATGATATTCATGTTAATAAAACTTACAAAAAAAAATTAGTATAAACTTATTCATTTCTTTATTTTATACACAGTTTTTTCTCTTATCCATAGCATATAAACAGGTTTTTGAGGTTTCAAATGGAACAGCTAACTGAACAATTTAAATGGTTAATAAACAATAAATTTATTTATCAAGAAACTAAAATGGTGAAAAAATTTTATTTGATAAGTAGTATCAATAACTTATGAAAATTTATCAAAGAAATTTTGACAAAAATGATTTTTTTTTAGAAAAATAATTTGCCTGGAGCCATTTGTTCTTTAATTTGTGGGGGACCTGATGTTGGTGAAAGTATGACAAATGATACACGATTGCCATTGATATCATTTACTGGAAGCACTCAAGTTGGATTGAAAGTGGCACTGAATGTTCAGCAAAGATTTGGGAAAACAATTTTAGAATTAGGAGGAAACAATGCAATTATTATTGCAGATGATGCTGACATAAAGATGGTGGTGAGCTCTGCTCTCTTTGCTTGCGTTGGTACTGCTGGTCAAAGGTGTACAACAACCCGAAGAATCATTGCTCATGAAAAGGCAAGTTATATGTAATTAAGTTCATAAATTTTCTTTGTCAGAAATAAGATATATTTTAATATAATGTGAAATATCATTAATAAAAAATTTCAACATTTGTTTTATCAGGTATATGATGAAGTCCTAGATAGATTAAAGAAAGCATATTCCCAAATTAGAGTGGGAGATCCACTTGAATCTGGAACGATGTATGGACCTCTTCATACGAAACAGGGAGTTAATGAATATCTTGCAGCCATTGAAGAGGCAAAGAAACAAGGTGGAGTCATTGAATATGGTGGAAAGGTATAAGGTTTTATACAATTAGGCATTTTATTATTGTTTTGCTGAATATCTCTTATTACTTTTTAATTAATTTAGAAAATTGATAGAGAAGGAAATTTTGTAGAACCCACAATTGTATCTGGTTTATCACATGATGCAAACATTGTTCACAAAGAGACATTTGCTCCAATTGTTTATATTTTGAAAGCTAAAAGCGTTGATGAAGCTATAGCTTGGAATAATGAAGTCAAACAAGGTCTTACTAGCAGTATCTTTACAGAAAATCTTGGAAATGTGTTTAAGGTTAGTAAATTATTTGTGTGTATATTTATTGATATAACTTTTTGATATTAAATTTTGAATATAATATAAAACAAGACTGGTGAAGCCTATCTGAAAGCATGCGCTACAAAAGTGAATCAAATATTTTAAAAAATAAATTTATTATTGTTATTATATTAAATNACCAGGGCTGTGGAGTCGGAGTCGTGGAGTTTTGGTGTTTTAGTCGGAGTTGGAGTCGGTAGATTTTTACGCGACTCTACAGCCCTGGCAGGGCTGTGGAGTTGGAGTCGTGGAGTTTTGGTGTTTTAGTCAGAGTCGGATTGGTAAGGAAAAGTCGGAGTTGGAGTCAGTAGATTTTTACGCGACTCCACAGCCCTGCTCAAAACATGGAGATTTGCAAAAATGTCTGGGGATCAAATTTGACACGATTCCAATACTTTTCCTTGTTATGTATACATAACAGCCGGGAAAGTAAAGTTTGTTTTCTAACATACGTTATTTAATAGAAGAAACATTTTGTACAGAATTTGTTATATCCAACTAAGGGCTCTCTCAAGAACCTTTAAATCCAATTCTTTTTCTAGATGATCTCCTGAAATCTCTAGAGTCAAATTTTTGAAATTGCTTTATCATTACATGTAAAAATAAATTGCCTCTTATATGCAGACAATTTTATTTTTTGACTAACATAACAGGACATGTCAGGACAACCAACTAACAGTTAATCTCAGAAAAATGAAAATAATGATTTTCTGAAGAGGTGGCAAGCTTAAAAAATGGATAAATTATATTTAGAGAATCGCGAACTGGATGATGTCACAAACTTTAAATATTTAGATATTTACTTTCACTCACAGCTCGTTTTCTTTGCATTTGGTCTTTGCAAAAATCACTCTAGATCAGGGGTCGCCAAACTTTTTTGATCATCGACCCCCTACAACTTTTCAAAACCTCACATCGACCCCCCACCAAAAAGTTTGTGTTACATGCAAAAAAAGCTCTTACTATTTTAATATATATCTTTCAATTTTACATTTTTTACATTTATTGTATGTATGTTACTAAACTAATAATTTTTGTAACTTACAATCAATGAGACAGGTAAGCTTGATAATCTTTTGCAAGATTAGCAATATTCGGTTCAAAATTTGTAAGTTTTAGTTTTTNAATATACCTGGTTATTATTTTTTGAGATCAAATTTATTAAATATTACGAAATGCGTGCGATCATTTTGGCATGCAATTTAAGAAAGAAACGATTGAAATTTATTGGTCGACATTGCATATGTGAGGCCGGGACCACACATTCCCCCTGGGACGGAAACCGGCTGTCGAGCTAAAGTCAATATATCGGTGACTTATTACGTAAATAGGACCGGTGTGACCAAGGAACGGGGTGCGAGACGATTTAATTGTCGCATTCCAGGCCTAAGTGACAGATTCACGGTGTCAATCGTGAGAACGATCGAGGGATCGACCGTCGGGGAAACTTTGGACGGTCACCTTAAAGAGAGTTCAAAGCAGGTCCTGCTGACACTACTGTGGAGGGAGCGGCGGCTGAGACAGCTTCCTCCTTTCCGGGACCGAAAAATAGACATTAGGTGACAATTTACGAGACCGTCATCCGGGAAAGGGCTTGACCCGACTCCGGAGGAGAACGGCCCGGACGGGGGTCATCTCGGCGACCCCTCGGCCCTGGCAACAGACCCGGGACCAATAGAAGCGCAGAGGGACCAACATTCGGACCAACCAAAACCTCGGGATTTCGGGTGAGAAAAGATTATAAAAGCCCGAGGTCCCAAGGACACGGGGAGAGAGTTGGTTGCGAGCTGGGGATCAAAAACAACGGTGCGAGTGAGCGGATACGGATTAACCGAGAAGACAAAGAGAACACTCCAGGAAGCGTACGGAAGAGATTTGGGACTTAACTTCCCAACGAAGACCTATAACCATCCAACCTCCAAGCATCTACTTACGACCGGGAAGAAGAGGACTCTCTCCGTCTTTGTGTTGTGCCGTCCATTCTCCGAAGATCCATCGAACTGTCCGGCGAGCCTTTCGACTTCCGACGAGACCTCCAAGTGTTACTATTGTAAGCATGTTTTCTAATCCAAATAAACGCGTTGAATTGGTAAATACGGTCTCTGTGTGAGTCTGTGCGTCCAGCCAAGGCCACTTGATCGCTTCACTAGTAAGGCCGTCCGCCGTAAGGAAAATTGCCGTATTTACACTGTTTCCATTTTTTGCTGCTGCGAAAGATTTTGGCGCTAGTTATCGGTGAGAATCGTCTGTTGAGTAAATTGGTCGTTTTGTACTTTTGTGTGCGAGTATAGCTATTTTATGAAATTGTGATAATTACATATAGTTATAGTTGTATTTAGTTATACTTATTCGTGAGTTATATACGGTTGACGGGATTTCTCTTCAACAGCAGCTTGGTATATAGATATAAATACATTCATTGTGTGGTCAAACTGTGGAAAAAGTTCTCAGACTGCATCATAAGCCCATTTCTAGAAAAATATTAAAAGTCTAATGTTGTCTAATTCATATTGTAAATTTCTGATGAGGAGGAAGCTAAGTACATTTCTGGTCTTTGACTGAATTTTACAAACTGTAAAATTCAGTCAAAAACAGTGTACACTTTATTCAATAAATTAATTTTTCTTATGTAATAAGCTTTTGCTTTTTCTATAAAGAATTTTATTTATATTAGAGATGTAAACTGAAGCAATGTTACTTTTACCATAGTTATACTTTTAATTTCAACTTTAAAACAATATATGTTGCTTTTGTTCACATTTCTGTGTACTTCTCCAATATTAATTATAATAAGTTCTTACCTTCAATATCACCATATTTCCGTGCATATTTTTCGAAATTTTTTTACTAACTAAAAACTTTGCTTATTTTTGCAAAAAAAATAAGCAAATTTTTTCGAAAGGTTATATCGGTATTTATTCTTACAGTCTTGATTAACAAAAGTAATAATTTTATAACAGATTTAATACACAACATTTTAATAATTATCATATATGGTCCGAAAATGTGAAAATTTTTATAGTAGACAGTGCATACTGTAGGTAACCTAGTTTTACTAATTTTGCATACTTTTCGAGTAAAAAAAAATTTACATTAACGATTAACTACTGGTATCTTTAAGAATCGAAAAGAGATGATTAAATAGTATTAATGTGAAAAAGTTTGTATTTTCCATGCCAATAATACTCAGTTATTATTTCTTCCTAAAAACGTCATCTATACTAATATAATAAAGAGGTAATGTTTGTATGTTAGTTTGTATGCAGCAGGTAATCTCCAAAACTACTCATCCGATTTCAAAAATTCTTTCACCAATATTTAGAATGGAACCTCAGGGTGGACATAGGCTGTCGAATACATGTCGAAATTACCCCATTGGGGGGAGAGGGACAGGATTAAGGCTTACTGTGAAAAACTTGGCTTCTATTATACTATTTTAGATGCGGGTTTTTGCGTTTTTGATTGCGTTTTAATAGGGTACGTCAAGAGAATGTACACTAAGAAGAAATTTTTCGAAAAATTTTCTCCCAGGGGGAAGTGTTATACATTTATAATAGATACATTTTGAGCCACAACAAGGCGTGGCGGGGTCTGCTAGTATGAAAATAAAGTGAAAAATACTGTATTATTATTTCGCTTTTTTCACAAACTAGGGAACATCGTTTGCAGCAGCTCATTTCTTGATTGTCAAAAGTTTTCAACCTGCTTTAATGAGAAAAATATTTAAATGCAGCGACGTCTCCAAACTCCTCTATACTCTCCACCTGAATCGCTGACGATGGATGTCACCGATCGTCAGCGCCACAAGCGGAGAAAATATTAACTAGCGTCTATACGCTCGGTCTCATAGAGAGAGATAGTTGGCGGACGGCCTTACTAGCGAAGCGATCAAGTGGCCTTGGTCCAGCAAACCGCGACCCCCATACGGTACAGGCTTTCTCGTGTCATCCTGACAGATCACGGGTAAAGCGAGGGTCGTAACCTTTCACCCCAAGGGCTCCCCCAGTATTACACATATAAATTTTTATTTGATTTATTTAGAAATATTGTTATAATGATTTACGATTTACCTTTCCATTTCTGCAAGTTTTCTAGACAATTTATCATTTTCTCTACACGCTAATTCATGATCCCTGGTTAGCAATTCTTTCATTTCGTGAAGCTGGGAATTTTCCGCTCTGAAACCATAAAAAAATATAATACAATTTCAATCTATTTCGTTTTATACAGTAGACCCCCTATAACACTGTAGATAATTCCGTGTTATATGAATTCCATGTTGTATACGAGTCACATAGATTTTACATATACGTGAGCCGTTCACAACCCTGCACACGTATTTGTAAAATCTAAGTGACTCGTACAACACGGAATTCATATAACACGGAATTATCTACAGTGTTATAGGGGGGATCTACTGTATTTTATTGTTTCTTATCGCTAAAAACTATATATTAACCTTAATATTTCGTTTTCTTGCATATATTTTTGAAGCATTGTCCTAATGTCTTCGTCTTTAATATCTGAAAAACATTTTTTATATAATATTCCATAGAAACAAAACTTCTGCATATAATTATTTCTGCTTACGGCTAATAGTTACAAATGGTACAAGCAGAAATCTTTATTTTGATTTAAAATAATCTAGGTAATATTTTAATTATTTTGTTAATATATTAAAAAGTTAAGTAAATCATATTTAACAAAAATTATAATCGGGACATTGTTATTTTCTGATAATGTATGAAAAGGGACCCAAGAGTAAAGGCGCTTTTACAGTTCGTCCATTGAGAATTTCTTGTAAATTTTCAAGTCCATAAGTAAATTACATTTTTTTTACCTTTTAAGGATAATCCATTATGAGTAAAAGATTTATTAAATAAATCTTGATTAAGGTTGACCTAAAAAATAAATTCCAAAATTTAATTCATTGAAATGAATCCATTTATTTAATTAAAATTAACCTATAAATATACCTGCGTACGTAAATAATTGTTTTCCATTCGAAGTAACTTTACTTCTCTTTTTAAACTAAGAATTAATTGTTCTCTCGGATCCTAAAATGAATTAATTGAATGAGTATCAACCTCATGTATTACAATATCTAAATTTCGAGAGTTCCTGTCTCGCGCTTAGAGTTGTTCTTGAACCAAGGGCACCCGTAGAGGGAGACAAACTAGGCACTTTCCCTCCTTTGGGACCGAGTAAAATATTCTACAAATTATAATCGCAAAAGTGATTGAAATACGTAACCTTACATCTTTGTTCTCCGGATGCTTCGTATTCAGAGAAGTAAAAATGAGCATCATACATTATGCAAGAGGCTTCAAACTATGATTCAATGTCGGATCAGCGCTTCACAAGATGGAACTGGTTGCAATAGGGGTTAACTCGGCATTGAAAACAAAGAACATTCCTTATTTTCAAAGCCAAGTTTTGGTCAACATACAATGAAGTTGTATGAGACTATGGATAAGTATCGTTCATTAGTTTATTTTATATCAACAGAATAAGCTAGAAGTCATGAAATTTTTGTTGTTTGTTGATGATGGAATTTGGAATCTCAATATAGGGACGTCCCCGGTCACGAATGACGCAATTTCTGCTAGTGTGATTTAGCTTTGCTGTAAATCTTAATTTTATTAAATGGTTTAAAAAAATATTAAAATTATTATAAATATAAATACTTACCATAATAATTACGGGTTTGGTTTTAATTCTTTTCGCTCTCGATGCATAACGTAACGTGTTTAACGTTTCAGGAATGTTCGATTTATGAGGCGAGACACAAGCAATCTGTATACATTAATTTTTATTAAAACTTTTCTCACACAAAAATAGTCTTATTTATTGAAAATTTTATATTTTTATTCGATTTTAACTTTTTTTTTTTTTGTTGAAGACGAAAAGGCTAATTACTGCTGCTTTAAGCATTTTATAAATACAGTAATACAGATATTTTAATGTTAATTTTAATGTTCACTGTTTAACTCACGTAAAAACTTAGATTATAATAACTTTAAAGAATTTTGCGGAAAATTGGAATAATACTAATACAATAATTATTGTAAATAAATTATTACAAATTGCGAAAAGTACGAATAGAAGTTATAAAACTTTTAATTTGGTCAATGACAGGCCTGAATAAACAGCTGCTCAATAGTCTTGAACTCAATACTTGAATTCAAACTCTGATTAGCAATTTAATTTTTTAAATCCACCAACAGTAATTATTGGATCATAGCTGTATGCAATAAAGCAATTTGTTTGCTTCTGTCCTCTATATGTACAGTATCTTACTGCACTTATAAAACAATAACCCCTTTCCTGTGTACAAGGTCTGTTCAAAAAGTATCAGACCTTTGGTCGGCAAAACTAAATTTATTGACTTTGAGGTACAAAACCCTAATCCCCTTCAAAGTAGTCTCCTTGGTAATGTATACACTTCTCTCAGCGTTCCTGCCATTGCTGGAAACACTGCTGGAACACATCTTTTGGAATGGCCATCAGCCGGTCCGTCGGATTCCGCAAGATGTCTTCTCTCGACTAAATTCAGGTTCCTTTTAGCAGCATTTTCAGCTTGGGAAATAGCCAAAAGTCACACGGAGCCATGTGGGGAGAGTATGGAGCATGACAAATCACAGGAGTATTGTGTTTGGCGACGAAAGCCCGAATCAGATGCGCAGAATGGGCAGATGCGTTATCACGATGGAGCTGCCAAGTTTTGATCGACCACAGATCCG